CCAGCCAAGTCCTGCTCATCTTTATCGAAGACTGCTTCATCATCCGAAGAGTCGTCTCTAATTTCGTTGACCAAGGCTGCTTCTTCGTCCTCCTCTTCATCATCGAAGACAACGGCGACACCCTGACGTTCGTCGAGTTCTTCGTCGCCTTCGGCGGCACCTGCTCCTGTATCCATATCTTCGTCGTCATTTTGGGTATCATAATCTGTAATTTTCTTTCCGAGGTTGACCAACTCGTTGAACTGCTTAGGATTTAAAGTCGCACCTAATAGGTCGTCGATTTCCTTCTTCTTGTCGAAGTCCTTCATATCCTCATCTTTAAGATATTCTAAGACAGCGTCTGCTGCACTCAAAACAATCTCATGGGATACATCACCCAGATTACTTCTTACAACGTTTAATATGAGGTCATAAGTGGCACGAGTAGCTGGTATACGTGGTCGATATCTGAGGCCTTCAACTAGCAGATCTGTCTGCCCGAGGATACCGGTTCCTCTCATCTGCGACGGGTCACCTTTACCCTTTCTTTGTTCACGGGCTAAGATATCCTTGCCTTCTTGTACATTCCCCCTTTCGATATCTTGCAAGCCTGTGGCCTTCTTCTGTTTGGGTGCAGCGTCGCGCGCGACCCTGGAGCCCATATCGTTGATTCTCAGACGACCTGCAAGAGACTCGGGGTCACCAGTAGCCTCGTCGGTTCGTCGCGTAACAAACCGTCTGTCCGCCTGGAGAACCAGGTTGGACATAGCCGAGTACTTGTACTGCGACACATCTCGATGGTGGTCCGCCATTTTGGGGGTATTTCGTGCTGAAAAGCTTGCTTGTTGACGGCAATATTATAAGGTAGCGGAAAGACGAGTATCGGCAGGTCCAATTTCATCAAATGGACAAGGGCGCCGCGCGTGTCTGCAGATATAGCATTTAGAATATACTATGCAGAATAAATGGCCTTTTTCTTGAGTCCTAGAATTCCGTTATATTAAGTTTCGATGCTCCTTGGCTGGTTCAAGTGAGAAGTGTTGCCAATTCGCCTTGGAATGGGAAATTTATGAAGCTAGATCTTTTCGCGTTCTACGATAACTTTAGCTTGAAGGTAAGCTAAAACTTCCAAACAGTGTTACGTACAGTGTATAACCGTAATGTACCGTCTTTTAGGCAAGAGTGGGGCTTATATTGAGAGATGAATAAAACGTATATTGTACAAGTACGTACTTGAGTAGCTTCGTCTTATTGAAGAAATTCGTAAACAGAAAACAGAGCTGGCTATACATTTGTATAAAAGAAGTATAGATGCATCTAGCTATTTATGCTCGATAATATCTGAGGTCCACTTGAAATTCACTATTATTATAAATTATAAATGTCAGTCTTGTAAATCAGCCCCGTCTAGCATCAATACCCAACACAACTCTTCATGGACACTATGGATAAGAAACTGTGTGAGCAGACTCGCGAAGCTCTTAATCACCGGATACGTCCTCGCGATGAGGTTACTGCTGTGAGACGGCACCTAGCTCAAGGTTTAGCTCAAAGTCTAGGGACCGAACAGCTCAGCAGCCCATTGTCTCTGGTTGACTTAGAAACCACCGTCACACCATCCGAGGCATTGCAGGGCACTTATCGAGAGTATGTCGAGGCAGCTCGCAAAAATATTGAAATACGATCCAGTTTTACGGCGTTACAAGAGGAACATGATGCAGCGAATGCTGCTCTCCCACCTCCACCTGAGGAAGATCAACAGGCACAGCTCCTCCAACTCCAAATTGAAGTCAATGCCTTAGAGCAGGAACATGAGAGACTAAGCATAGTCGACAAGTATCTTGAAGAACTCAATCAGCAACCCGCGGCAGCTCCAGACTTCTTAGATCCAGATGTCATGTTTAAAAGCTGCTCTCCTCTCCCCGAATTACCCAAGGAACTTATGGAGGGTTTCACCCAAGACCGGGACGCTCCAAACCGCGAGATCAAAGCTCTCCTTGCGCGGCTCCAGTCGGCGGTTCTGCGTAACAAACTATTAGCGCAACAAGAAAAACAAAACTTCGAAAAATTAAAGGCTAAGAACCCAATCGACCCCGGACGTCTTCCGCCAGAAGTACAATTACAGGCACTTAACGCCGTGAAGGACAGCCTCATAAACTGGATCGAGACTATGTTAAGCAAAGCCGGCGGTGAAGAGGACGAACCAAGTTCCGAGTCGCCCAGCAAGCCGCGACATAAAGATGAAAAATTCGACCACGAGGCGCATATGGCTGAGATCCAGAGAGAATACCAGCAGCACGTCGACCTCCGCAAAGAAATCATGGCTTCTATGGTTCAATTAGAGCAGCTAAGTCTCCAGCGGCCACAGAAGCAGAAGCAGCCGCAGCAATTCCTACCCGAGGAACTTACGCCCAACAATACCAACAACGCAGCTTCTGAGGCATTCCTATTAACACCATACCTCGAGAAACTACAAGCCATTTCGCGCGAGCAAAAGGGCCTCATCCAAGAAAAATCCCACATCAACGCCTCCCTCACCAAACAGCAACAAGACCTCAACCAGATCCTAGACCACTTGATCGAAGAAAGCCACCTACTACCCAAGTACCCAGCGAAGCGGTCCGAGAAGCCGCGGCAAAGCTTCGGCTCCGTCACGAAGGGCGTCAGCAAGGTCAACGTGACGGACCAGATCGAGCCCTGGATTTCCGCAGCACACTCGGCGCAGATCGCCACGCTTGAGGCCGTCTTCGAGAAAGTCGAGGAGGGCCAGGTGGCGGCTGAAGACGCCATGCAGGCTTTGGATCAAGTCCGCAAACTGCTTAATAAGGAAGAGGCTGCGCCGGAACAGTCTCGTGGAGAGGAGGGTGGTGCTGAGGGTGATATGTGGGTAGGAGAGGATGAGGGGAGCAGCGGGACGCGTGTTAGGAAGAACAGGGAGAAGAAGGCGGAGAAGCCGAAGGGACAGAGCATTTACGCGAAATTGGATGGGAATCTTGGGCTGATAAATGAGTAAAGGGCATAATCGAATATTCTATCACAGCTAAGATCTACCCGGGCATCACCTTGTAAATATAGGCAAAGCTCTATTACTGAGGATCTTCATAATAAATACATCCGTGTTTTGTACACCTAACGCCGCATGCTATGACATTCACCACGTGCTATATTATATCCTCGTCAAGTAGAAATTTTTGAGCATTATGCTTCTTAAAAAGCTTACGTTTAACTCTTTCCAGCTAGTATGTTTGATATTCTCAGAGCCAGGTCTAGAATAGACAAATGCTCATCAGCACCATCGACTAATCGTTTATCCACCTCAGAGAAGACGAGGGTTATCTTGTTCTTCGCTATATCGGGAACCATCTCATCTTGAATGACAACTTGGTATAACTGTAAACTCCTGTTAGTAGGCCGACAATAATAGCAAGGGGGGAGAGGGTCTTACTTGAGAGAGGACTTGTCCAGCACTCCATCCATCCGCAACCATCTCTTCCACGACCTTCGCGATGTCCTGATAGGTCGCGCCAGCAGATTTAGGTTGCATCGCCTTCTGTAACGTAGAGATAGTCTGGTCTGGTATGACACCAGCAATCTCTTCCACAATCTTCACAGTGACAATCCTAACGTCGTCATCCACGTCCATCTTATCTCCTTCATCATCCCCCTTCTCAATAGCACCAACCAGCCTCGCCGCACTCTGTAAGAACGTAATCGCCTTTCTCAGATCACCCTCGCTGCACTTAATAAGCGCATCAACAGCGCCGTCTTCCATTGTGACACCCTCCTTACTAGCAATCTCCTCTAACCGCTTCTTCGCATTGCCCTGATCCAAACTCTTGAACCTGAACTTGCTGCATCGACTCGCAAGGGGATCGATAATTCTAGTGACGTAGTTGCAGATTAGGCAGAATCGGGTGATCTTGCTATATGTTTCCATTGTTCGTCTAAGGGCGCTCTGGGCATCTTGGGTCATACTATCCGCCTCGTCGAGAATAATGATCTTGAAGGGTGGACAGGGGTAACGGTTCTTGTATCCAGCAGGCGGGTTCGTCAATTGCATACGTGCAAAATCCTTCACCTTCTCTCGTACGATAGAGATTCCTCGTTCGTCGGAAGCGTTGAGTTCGAGGACACGCGACTTTATCATCTCGGGTCCGTACAGCTCTTTTGCGAGGGCGAGAATTGTGGAGGTCTTACCCGTTCCGGGAGGACCATAGAAGAGCATGTGAGGAAGCTAGAGATTTTATAATATTAGAAACATGACCATTTGTCTAGTTTCATAAGTATAGGCTATAGGCTTACATTAGAGGCTTGAAGCGTCCGCTGGAGGATGTTCACCGTATGATCTTGAGCTGTGACATCGCTTAAGGTTTTCGGACGACTTATTAAATACGAGTTAGCTCCTCTGTCATTATCTTATTTCAATGACTCAACTTATAAAGAGACATACTATTTTTCCACCCATGGTTGCTTTCTGGTGTTCTGCTTAGACTCTTCTACTTTGGACGTTGTTGCGCCGTTAGCCGCGGCAGCTTTGCGCGCCTTTAGATCGAAGAAGCTGGCCATATCGTAGTTCAATCAACAATCAAAATACTGAATAATCTAATATAAGTATCTCGTCGAATGCGATAAGGAATGACTTCTTAACTGCCATAAATAGTTGTATAGAGCTATAATAATTAAACCTAGTCCAAGGCGTCCAACATAAAAAAAGCCCCACCGACGCGTGAAGAACGCGCTTTCGATTTGCTCGACGTCAATTAAAAGACGGGATAGGAAAGCGGTGTAACCCGGGTACCTAGGTACATGTAAGAGTGCCTAATTCTCCCTGTAGGTGCTATGATAACGATACCGCTACATACCAACACCAACACCAATTATGTCATGAAGTAAAACTATAGCATTCATTTTCAATCCTATACACAAACTATAAAGCCCTTTTCATTATTATGCTTATACGTGCTACGCTCTCTTGAAATGCAAAATCAGAAATAATAATTACAATACCCCTTCGCATCAATCTATGCGGCACGCACCAACTGCTTCAATCTCTTTTCAATAATATCGCGCCCCTCGCTCGTCTCCCAGACTCGATGCGGCGCCTTATTAACGATATCCCAGTGCTTCAACTTGTGTGTGACATGGCTAAGATCCCTCTGCTTATCTTCCCATCCACTGTCTCTGCGGATCATGTCCCCAGAGCTGATTACACTCAACGGGACGTCCGGGTTTTGAATCGCTGTGCTACTAGCCAGATCACGTTTCGACAACGTATCGGCTACCAGATTTTCTTGCAACTTCGTAAACACATATTTCCCTGTCTGGTATGCGGATTGCCCCCATATGCGGTCTTCCTTGGTTCGGCCTTTGAAAAGAGCTCCCGGAATACGATCGAGACCAAGGGGTGAGATTATACCCCGTATCCAGAGTAGGAATCCTCGGCTAGGTGAACCTACGCCGTCAAGATCGTCTTCGTGGAGCGGATCGATGAAAAGTAGTCCTTTGATGTCGCCACCATGTCGAGCAGAGAAGATGCGTGAATATACGGAACCAATACCAGCACTCGCGAGGACTACCAAACGTGTTAGTGACAGTCATTAAACAGAGTCTCGAATAAGGACTTACCCCAAGGACCATCTTCTCCAGCTCTAGCCAAGGCTTCGCTAACAGCCTCAACTGCCATTCCAGCAGACAGGGGCGAAGGTGCGGTATCACTCTATTGCGTGTTAGTAATTAGATATTTATCATCAGCCACCACCTACTTACCCAAGCAAATCCGGGACGGTCAACGAAACAGTATCGACTGATGGATCCGTTGTTGACTGCATTTTCGGCAAATTGCCACAGGCCGTCTTCAACTGGGCTTTCCCCTCCTTCTAATAAAACGGTTGGTAACTTGTTACCCTCCGAATTGGTCTTGTTTCCATGGCAGTAGACATGCATCATGTATTTGTCTCCGTCTACCCAGAACAATTCCCCTGGCGGTGCTAACCCAGCATCGAGGCCCCGGAGAATAAGAGTACAGGTTGTTAGAAGGACGACAAGGCTAAGTATGACCATGGAAATAGTAGACAGCAGAACAGCAGTCCACTCGGTTAGAGTACGACGTGTCTCGGCCCGGCCAGTCAGCCGTTCTTCCTCTTCATTTTTACCCCATTCAACCAAACGATCGGTGAGTAGGGTCCAGAGAGCCATAAGAAACGCCCCTAGATTATGTCATTAGTCTTAAACCCCCTGTTCTTGGGAGAGTATAGACTTACATAGCACGCTAACCATTCCAACCCAACCCTCTTCATGTCTTGTCTTCTCTACAGACAGCAACAAGATAGTATTGACTAACAACAACACTCCCAAAACTACACTCAATATTCGAACCGGTTTCGACGGGATAGCGAAGAATATGAGTGTAAATAGCAGGTTCGCCAGCGTTAAACTAGCATAACTAAAAGCGAAGAAACCCGATCCCCGCGTATGAAAACCCGGAGGCGTAACGAAGGTTGAGACGAGTAAGATAATCCACCATGCGAATGTAAGAATGGCGAAGAGGACGGTAAGATACCTAACAATTCGAACACTCCATAAGTTATACGGCGAAACCTAGCAGTATATAAGTATTAGTTAGATGCACATAGAAACATTGGAAGTATTGCCTACCGCTGGATCATCCGGACTTAAGTAATTGGTGCTGTCGACTCTATTCGGCAGTAAACGAGTATGCTCGTTCGGCGCATTTTCTCGTTCCTGATCCAGCGAGTCCCGCGGACTGTCGTCCTGGACCCTGGATCCTCCCCAAAGTTTATTCATCCTGCAGCTTAAGCGCTCTCGGCGCAACGCTGAATACTATTAAGATAAAAAATATATCAACAGCGTATAACAAGAACTACACGCAGGGTAGTTAGTAGGTAAGTAAGTATAGGTATTAGTTAGTTATATTAATAATATTAAATTTTACAATTACGGCGTACGTAGGTTAGTTCATTATAATAGAGAAACAAAGAAGTTACACCAGCTACCTACCTATAGGAATATCTGCTCCGGCCACCGAAACGACTCGCGTTATATCTACGTCATGACTATTGCATAGCTCTCGATTAGCCCCACATTTAAGATCAAGTTTGGTGGACAGGGAGTTGCTTTCGCCGCAAGTTACAGGCTAGCGTACCTAGCCATCGATGCTAATTGGGATAGCTTCAAATCAAATTTCTGGTCACCTGGCCTTTGATAATTGCATCCAAGATCGCGAACTTCAATTGTCTCGGTTAGGTTAATTGTTTTTCGCCTGTTGCCCCATTATCTTAAAAATATAATTCGAGATCCATGTATGTACCTACCTACATACCTAATAATTTACACTTCGCTCATCGAATGATAGAATCACATGTTTGTAATATAGGTAGGTTAGAGATATTGTGTCATCCTTTTTTTTTACCTTAGTCAGTTATCTCATATACGTCAGAGACTATTATCATATTTCTCATTACTTTTATCAATAGCGACATATTTTTTTCTCTTACTAACTAATAGAATATACTTTTCTTAGTATCACAAGCGAACTATAGTACAACTCGCCTATAAACTTTAATATAACCTCACATCCCAATACAGCTTCTCATAACATGAAATCATCATTTATTATCATCAGATTATCATAAATAATAAGCTTAAATATAATATCTATTCATGTTCAAATATTTCTACATTCATAAGGCAGCATCTTAGTCATTAATATAAATATCATTAAATAGCTTCAAGTTATCTCATCTCGTATCGTATCGTATCGTATCGTATCATTTTATACTCCATCACAATATCCATAATAAACTCATACATGCCGATTTCCACCGCAAAGCTCAAGCCGAGCCCTCTAGCAGGCTCCTCTTCTCCGTAGCGTTCTTCTCGAAAGAAACAACAAGCACCTCACCCTTCTTCTGGTCCGGGAAATAAGGCGCTAGCTTCTCCGTAACATTTGTAGCAGCAGCGGCTCGCTGCACGACGTAATCAGCCTTCTCCTCGCCAATTGTTAGAGACCTAGCCTTGACCTGGCCTACAGGGCTCATCTTGATATCCCTGATGACGAAGCGTCCCGCGCCGTTAACGGGGCCGGCGCAGTGGATAACAGCCGTCAAGTCGACGAAGAGATCCTTCTTGACCTTGGTAACACCCACCTCGTTCTCCGAGACGTGCAGGCTCCACGGACCAAATGTCTTATAGTTAGGGTTGCTGACGCCGATGTTGTACGTGGGCGAGGACTGGAAGCCGTCGGTGCCGGTCCAGGAGGCTGGGGTGCCGGTCAGCCAGCGCACGGTGCAGTCGGCGTTGCTGACAACTTGGCTACCGCCGACCTGGTTGACGTAGCCCATAGCAAACGTGAAGTCATACTGGATGCTGGGGCACATCTTGACCTTCTTCTGGACCATGGCGGCCTCGCAGCCCTGGCTTGGCAGGCTCGACATCTCTACTGAAATGGCCGAGTCGCTCTTCCCGTTGGCCAAGTAGTTGACGCCTTCGAACTTGATCTTGTCGTTTAAGGCGCAGCCGGGGTACGCCGCCATCGTCCAGTTAGTGAAGCTGGGCCACCAGCTGGTGAAGTCGCCATTCGTGACGCTCTGCTCGGGCGTACACTCGCCCGGCTGGGGTGCGTAGCATCGGCCGTCGAGGCAGAAGGACGGGTTGCAGACGTTGCCGCATTTACCGCAGTTGTTAGGGTTATTCCTGAAGTCTAAGCATGTGCTACCGCACTGGTCCTGCGGGCATCCGCACTTTCCACCATGGCTAAAGAAAGGTCAGTATACGAGAGTCAACAGATGAATACAGATGAACATACCACTTTGAGTTCGGGCCACATTGTCTTCCACAGTTTCCGCAGTTGGCGTCATCATTACCGTGTGTATCGGCACAATAAAAGTTTCCATTGTTGTAGATACACGTATCAGGAGGGCTGGAGCAGAAGCAGCGGCACATAGCAGCCTGCGACTTGTAGAAAAGATCGCGACCCTTGCTAGTCGCAGCGACACCAGTGAAATAGCTTGCCTGCGCGGCACATGCAATGGCAGGAATGACTTCCCACCAGCTGTCGAAGGCATCCAAGCATGAAAGGATCATCATAGTACCAAAGATGCCGGTACAGCTCTGCCAGCCGTAGTTCTCGCATTGGTCGTAGCAGAGACTTTGAACAGCGCATGATCCGTCGAAGTCAAAGGGACTGATTGACCAATACTCGCTAAGGCTCTCGCAGAAGTTACCTTGGCCCAACTCGTAGCCTTGCTTTGTCCTAGCTACTAAGTTAGGAGGCGAAGAGGGACACTTGGGGGCAGGGCCGTCAGAGTATGAGCGCTTCGTGAGCCTTTCTGCTAGCTGTTTGTTGCGCCTACGGTTCTTGCGTTCGCTGTCCACCGCAGGGATGCTCTTAGGGAGGGCCTTCATATTGTTTGCAGGTTTCGCGGCCTTGGTCAATTTGCTCGATGCTCCGTCGGTACTCCAGGTGTATCCGGAGCCGCCTTGTGTGATAGATATGCGACCGTAACAGTCGACGTTGAAAATGGTCGTGACACGGTTGTTCTTGAAACTAGCTCCTGTGGATGCTCCCACGAGAACAATGGCTCCAGTATTGGTCATGGCGACAAACTGAGGTGTAGCCGACCCAGCATATACCATATCGTAAACATTTGAAACGCCCGCTGCCGCTTGAAGGTAGAAGCCAGGCACGGTGAAGGTCTCCGGGTTGAGCATTGGGTCGTCAGCAGCAGGAGCCTTGGTAGGTTGTAGCAGAGGGCCAATCGAGCTAGATGTCCTGCTGACTATCGGTATGAAGTTTTCATTGAGAACGGTCTGTAGTAGATTAGCTTCAAGGACATTCACATGGAGAATTGCGTATTAACTCACGAACTGTGCCTGGGACCCAGGCTCTACCATGCACGGCGCGGACGGTAAAGCAGTTGGCTGGGCAAGACCAGTTGTGATCGGAGGTGATCCTTCGGCAACCACGGTAGGTAGCTCGAACTGCTCGTACGTGTACGTTGCTATGAAATCATCGTCATCATCCGGCGTTACTAGAGGTCCGGATGGAACATATGGTGGACTATCAGTTGTTAAGGCGACTGGGGCTGGTCCTGATGTGAATGTCACTGCTTCGTCTACAGTACTGATCGTAGGGATGGCACTAGTAGCCGACGAGCCTGAAAATACCAGAGAGGGTCCCTATGAAAAGAGAATTGTTAGTTCAACTTATCGAATACTATATTCTCTATATAGGGAATATAGCTTTTTTTGGTAAATTTAGGTACTTACCGAGTTTCCAACTGCTCGTGGGCAGTTGATATCCCAATAAATGTTCACATTTTTCGGGTCTGGGCTGAAGTCTTTAACCAAAGCCTTTTTATATAGACGGCATTTTCCACCGGCTGCAAGTTCGATAGAGTAACTTTGGCAACTCGATGTCTTCTTGCAAAGTGCAGAGCATCCCTTAAAGGTATTGTCGGCAATCCCGTTAGAAGTCGAGAATGCCGGAGTCAATAACCTAAAGCCATTAACCTCGCACATGTCGGTGCTAGTCGCGCAGGCTCTGTCATAAAAAACGTTGTTCCCGGGCAGGGATTGCGTTATGATCTTGATACTATAGAGTGGTTAGTCCCATCATATGTTCCCCTTGAGTATAGTACAAAACACTTACACAGGTAACAGATAGAGGCGGCAGTTGCCATTTTCGACTGCGTAGCTCTGGCACAAAATCTTTGATGCACACAAAGCACCGCATTGAGCTGGAACCGCGAAGCTTGCTTGTTGGGTGCTGTAGTAGGCTGCAAGGATACGATTACCCTTGATCCCACATTTTGCGGCTCGTTTATCTAAGACATCTTCGCTGAGGGCTAGACAGAGTGACACTGTCAGCGTCAGGAAGAGAAGGAGACGCATGTTGTACCGAAGAGAAGACTGGCGGCAGTAGAATTTCTCTTTGCTTGTCCGTACAACATCATCAAGAATCTGATGGGAAGCATGGTGCTTTTTGAATCCAGCGTCTCCCTCACCGAGTCATGGTTCTAGTCCACTGGCGTAGGAAGCGATTCGAGACTTTAGCCACCCGACAGCTATGATATCCATCGTAGCTAGAGAGAAGCCTTCTAGATTCTCTTCAGCTCCAGTAGCTGCATGCTAAACACGTCTAGGATTCCTATTTGGGAATATACCCACCCAGTCGAGTGCAAGCGCGGCGCGAAGATCTAATAGCGTCTACACTACAACGAGGCACGATATACGATAAGGAGCAGATCAGCTGCCTCGGTATGTACGAAGAGGGACTCTACTCGAGTCTCTCACATATAGCGTCTACCGGTGCTTCCCACTTCCGGCACCAGAAGTAAGTGATCTTCCAAATGACGTGAACGACTACATTCAGGTATTCGATTAGCAGTATAAAAAATAGATTCAAAGTCAAATTAAAGAAGATCAACTCATATATGCATAGGATTTACCAAATATGATGTATTCATTTCGTCACGATACCTTCGAGTGGAAGGTATATACTATAGAAACCCACGCAAGACAACACCCACCACCTACAGAAGAGCACACTCACCTAAATCAAGTACTGTTTTACCCTCAAGCATTGTGATAAACTGCTCTCGCTTGATAGGCTAGCTCTTCTGTAGAAGCGAATTTTATAGGATGCGGTGCGGGCGATTGGGCGGGCGGCGATAGTGTCCTTTTCTCTATTAGTATACTCGGAGTTGTTGGGCTTGAAGGTAAACTATACTTTAGGCACAATGACTAACCCGCTGATCTAGAACCCAGGAGCGTGGAACGTATAAAGCCATCCCGCAAGTTTGAACACTCCGCCACCTCCGCAAGACTAGTCCCGGCCTACGAAACAAATATCCGCTAGTCTTGTCAAGACGGCTGATGTTGTCTAGACTCTAGATATTGCTTACGAACGCTAAGAGGTACCGAGTAGTCGCACCGATTCAGGGCGCTCTAAAACTACCTCTTAGGTACCTTAGCTCAACATCCGGACGTTATCATACGATGAGCTGTTTGAAGCTGAACCAAGCTCAGCTGTGAAGGTCTAGACCCGAGGATGCACTTTAGTCTCGGGGGTAGGAGCAGTAGATTGCTGCGCGACGTGGAACGATACAACGTTCTTAGTGCGGCTCAATTCCGGATGGAGCTGTCTATAAGATTTATTACGATTTGAATAATATCATCATATTTAATGACAGATGGAGTTATAGAAGATGAAACGATTCTAATATTTTAAAGTAGAAATATAGACTTAGGTTAGACTTAGGTAAGACTTTGAACGAGAACTTATCATAATAAAAGTGGATACTATATGCTAAGGTTCTATTACGTTTAAATCGATACTGTGCCCTACCTCTATAATTATTACGTTAACAACAAACTTTCGAGATCAATGTCAGAACGTGACAGACTTTCGCTATTAATGACAGAAATCATTAAACCGAGAGAGTCGAAGCGTTCAAGGACATCGTAGTCAAAAATGGGGTTTCTGTTGTTCAATTCCAAAAGCTTGTCCCAGTCAAACCAATACCATCCTGTTTTCTCATCTTCTAACTTCAATCCACGGACCATATTTGCGCACCCAGCATGTAAAAAATTCAAAATCTGTTTTATATCAACACCGTCGGCACCGTTGAACACATGGGGGAGTATATGATCAGGATCATAGAATATCCTGCCCCGGCAAGCAATTTCAAATGCTAGTTCGTAGAGTAGGACAAAAGACATGCGTTCCACTGGCATGGCCCACAGACCCGAATCAAGCCTCCGCCGCCAACAGTCGAAGAGCTCAGTAGACGATATAATAGTCTCGCCTACTAATCTATTACTAACTCGACTGTGGTTTCCAAAAACTTGTAGGAAGAAGGCAGAGACGTCGCGCCGCATCAAATCTACTGGATATGGATTAATACGATAGCGCCGATAAATGAGACCCCGAGCATTAATATGCATTATTACTAGGAGTAAGACTTCTTGCTGAGGATTCATGTTGATTATCGGATTCGAATCCCACCAAACATCGCGCCCATAGGACAAGATGTTAAGGATATCCCTTGAGCGGAGAATATCATCTCGAGAAGAGACAATCGTCGGCCATAAATCAGACGGCATGTTGAGATTAAGCAACGGCAGCAGATCGTAAAGACACCTGGTATTGTAGAACCGGTTGTCTAGACCGACACCATTTTCTAACAAAAGAGCCTTACGCAACCATTCCTTAAAATGGTTAAGATGCTTGAATGGCTTATTTTCTAGCTCCGTTCTTAAAGTGAGCGATGCGCTTAGCTGTTTGAGTGCCAGCTCCCCGGTGTGTGCCAGCCCGTTTAGGATTTCGATAAATCGTTCTTCCTCCGGAGTGATCCGACCGAAGTATGGCTTGTATACGATATCATGATAGACATCTTCCCAAGCATACATAAAGCCGGTTCCAACTTGGATTTCGACAGCGAGACCTTTATATTCCGAGAACTGTTCATCGTCTTCCTTTAGTTTGCAGCGTAAGTGGAGTGATTTCAGGCCCAGAGGCCATTCTTCATCGTTTCCGTTCTCACGATTTCTCTTAATGCCGCTCCGATCGATGACGCTTTTTTCCAAGTCTGGACAGGAGATGTCGTCCCATGGGTTAAGATACGGATCGAAGGTTTCCTGAATTATCTTACGCACTTTATCCTTATCATTCGGGAATGTAAGCGCGATGCGGACCCCAGCAAGATCGATCATATCATGCTTTATCTCATCCCGATTCTTGTACGGTTCGGGTCTTCTTTTTTGCCTTCTTCTAATCGAATCCTCAAGATTCTTCTGCGCCTTCGGGCGACTCTTAATAGTGTGACGAATTTTATTTATCTCCAGCTTTTTTGTGCAGATTGCTTCGGCGCATTTGGAGAGTTTCTCATATTTTTCTATTTCTTCCGGCCAACCCCTCACGAATGAGTTAATGATTGAAGATGCTTCATCCCGAGTGCTCGCCATGCTCATTGCTGTTAAATGGTAATTATGGTGCAACAGGTGGACGATGCTGTAGAGCCTTCACATTTAATTACTTACCTACTCAAGATACGCAGCCCAATTGGAGACGATGTGACGTGGCACTCGCATACAAATTGCATAGGTGGTCAGCAGTTCTGCTTATCCATCGTAGCCTTGCAAAATATACTAGAATTTTGAACTATATATAACTAACTATAATAGCTGTTATAGTACTCTATACTCACTCTTCTGACTTCTTGTTCGGAACCAATGTCTTACATCACACGAGTAAAAACCGAGGTCGAGACCAACCCAGGCCTACAGCCATTATTACAATTTCTTTCTCAGGATACCCCCAAGATATCTCAAAGACAACCCCAGATTAAGTTTATCGAACATGCAAAATACTCTAAAGTGCAAAGGCTACCGCCTCTTGATCACCCTAACCTACGTGATATTATCACCAGGATCAATGCCGCTGCCGGGATGATAGATGAGGGTATACTCGGTTGCACCTTAATTATAGAAGACATCCAGCCCTGCCACGTCCAGGATTTGGGAGAAACCTTCTTCATCGACCCAGTCTTTTTCGCGGGCTATCTTGGAACAGATTACAGGTCTGTCGAACGACATCCATTACCGTTATGGGCAACCACTTTACCATCCGAGTCTGCGACGCAAGAATTTTGTCATATACATTACCAGCGGGTGGTAAAACTTGAACAAGATTTTAATTCACTTGAAAATGTTCCTCTCGTCACATCAGCCAGCGTGCCGCGGGCTGTCAAGAGATTGCCTCCCTTGAAAGGGGTCAATATTGCCTTAGCTCGTACATGTACTTCCGTGCTTCGAAAACGCCTTAACTCTGGGTTCTGGATCTGTAAGCGTAAAATCGATCCCCTCTCCGAGTATCAAAGTGACACCTAATCATTGAATCCTAAAGGTTTGATTATTGTAGACTCGACTACCGCAGACATCGTCCAGCAAACCAGTGATCGATATCATACACCTACATTTATAGCACATCAGACGCCTTTGCATGGTTATGTCCAACCTAGAGCGGGCTTTGCAGATCCATCAACGGCTCAGATCTCGTTGCAAACACATGGAAAACCGCCACTATCGTATTTCGATCGTCTCGCAGCTTCTATAGTACGCGCCGACACGTTTCGCGTAGGGAAGCCGAGTATGATCTCACTCTGTTCGGACCCGTTGCGTTTCGCTCTGCAAGAGTTCTTAGTTTACTCAGCCACGATGCACAGATACGTCAAGTACTACGAGTACTCCTTAAAGGATCTAGACCTCGCTCTTCGGGGTGACGATATCAACGATCTGCAAGTATGGCGGCGGCGAGCATTTCAAACCCTGCAGAAATTGCTCGCCATGCAAAATTTCGTCGAGCACTGGAGCGCTGAGGAACAGCTGCTCGGGACACTCGAGGCGAATGCAGGAGCCTGGTTAATCAAGGACATTCAACACCTGATAACCGCTATTGAACATCATAGTAGGTCCCTAGAGGCGATAATTCCAGTTACGATGGCGATGGTTCAGCTTGTCGACATGCGTCGGTCGATGGACGAGGCTTCACACGTAAAGCAGCTGACGTATCTCGCTCTCGTCTTCGTCCCCCTTTCCTTTGTCACGGGTATCTTTAGCATGTCTGAGAGTGTCTTTCCAGGGAGTAGTGGTTTTTGGTTGTACTTTGCGGTTGCTGTACCACTTTTACTCCTCGTTCTGGGAGCGAGCTGGTTGCTACCTTTAAGAGCTTATTTGGTTAAACAGAAGCAAAAAGCGTTGAAATAAGTGGCATCAACTTAGTTAGCCTAGTACATTGCTATATTACCTATATGTAGTCATTTGCTGTACTCACTAACAAGGGAAGAATATAAACTTAGACTAGCGAGTATATACTCACCTAGGAGTCTTGCAAGTCGAATTTACCACTCGTATTTAGTCAACTCGAAATTTATACCAGAGACTCGGTGCTTAATAGCACCAATAACTTGTCTAGTCAATTTATCTAATCGTTACTTCTTCCAACAAGATTCTAGCTAACTTCCACGTAAAAGAATGAATGTGAAATTTCAGTTGCAAAGATCCCATACCTGGGCACTCATAGGCTCGAACATAAAAACAGTTAAACGATGAGTTATACGCCGTGAAGTATAACAACAATCAACTAATTGTAACATGTCATCTAATCCGCATGTATCGTTTAGTGTGGAGTTTGTTTAGTTGGTTATCACTACAGAACCTCTCTTGCAGCACCAAAGGCAGTGCTACTAGAAGCCGAATAGCGACTGGAACTCGATTTCGAGCCTTGGTAAGTTTCATAAGACCCGGTGCCCGAACGTCGCATCCTTTTCCGTTGTTCTGCCCGTTTCAAGAACATCTCCTCAGGATCAGGTCCCGAACCGGCTGGTTTAATTGTATTCGGTGGAAGGGTACCAATTGGTAAGTGAAGCTTAGCATTCGCTTGAGGGTCATCAAGAGAGAGATGAGCCCTGTCGTAGGTTTCTTTCTTATACTGTTTCAAGGCCTGAGCCGACGGCTCCGAAGCAGCAACCCAACTCTTAAGTTGAGACATCCAGCGGCGTTTACCATTCTTCTTCTGTTCAGCTAATTCAGCCGGCGGATCATTGATTTTTCTGTTTCCAGCGTTCTCGAGAGTGTTGCGATTCATTCCGCTATGATTGTGCGAGGTTTTCTTATGGTAAGTAGGATCCATTCTAAGAGATTCCATTGCTCCTGTGACTTGCGATACCAGTGTCCCTTCCCCTTGTCTTACCGATGCACTTCCTTGCGAGTCCATTACTGGTAAGTGCACATATCTTGTGGTTATGTTTGGTAATTTAACAGTGGTATCGATGAGTGGAACTCCTGAACTTGATGCGGGTCGATCAGGGTTACCGGGAGGCAGTCCCATAAGTGTAGATGTGTCCAGCGATGCAGTTGTCTTGTGTTGGCCGGATGAGTTCCGTTTAAGACGGGATGTGATAATGGATGCCTGAGGAAAGATACGATCTCCTAGTGATTGGCCCTTGGTCAACTTTAAGGCCTTATCTTTCAGCCCTCCTTTCTCAGCACTCTTCTAAAGGCGTGAAGAATCTTGGGCTTGAGATGAAGCTATATTTATTAAATTGCTTTGGCGCAGCTTCTTTTTTGGCACTGGATCTTCCCGTGATAGCGACTCTCGGTCAAGTTGTTCGGATGATACGCCAATGCCGAATTCTTGGTTTCCGTCACTATCCTGGTCATCTAATTGAGAGTAAGTCTCCGTTTCAGACCTGAAGGAAAATGGATCATCGAGCCCGAGGGGTTTCGCTTCATGTGCTCTGGAAACACTATCAGGAGAGAAATTACAAAGTTCACCCAGCTGATCCCAGGCTGTCTGCTGAGCCGTTGGTAACGATGGAAATGGTGGCGGCTGTCTCAGGCTTCCGACGTGGGTCGGGTAGGAGAAATTACGCAAGACAGGTGGGTTGAAACGTTGTGGCGTTATGGGTGTCTCTGTTGGTGTAGTATCATTCTCTTGTAGAGATCCTAGGGGAGTGGGTAGCTTAGGTTTCCGAAGGCGTCCAACTAACCCTGCCATTGTCAAGAGGAAATATCCTAAAGGGTATAGTTTTCTCGAGAGTTGATCATATGATAGGTAAAAGACTGTTTAACGGTCTTGTGGATTGGGAATAAGTATGACAACCCGTGAAGCAATTGACCTAAGTTAAGAATTGGCTTTCAAATACTTCAAATAGTGAGGATTGGATGAACGAAACTTACTCTGGATGACACGGTTCTGTTGTAAGTAATCTAACTAACTAAAATCTTGATCGAATATCTGAGATGGTCATTCGATTGTATCTGGAATATATCTAGAAAGAAAATGATCGAGTTTAGGAAAGGAGGAATGAGTCAAATGGGACGATTTAACGTTATAGGTATCTACGTCGACTCGACTAAAGGTAGGCGCGCTACTAAACTAAGCGGGTAATTTGAGACCAGTCATTATTAGTAGTAGTTGAGCTTACCGTATATACTTGAAATACTTAGATACCTAAATTAGTGCGGTCTCATCTTTGCCTGCCTTTGTTTGAACGGAAACATGTACATACAAGGCTTTAAACCATAAGAAGGAAGCATCAACAGTGTTAAATTGTTAGACGATGAGATGTGGGTTCAAGAAGAAAATTGTTTTATTATTCTCGGCAACTTACATAAATCCCGTTTGCACATAGTAGGCAGACTACTAATATCATGTAGATTTAGACAATACTGTGCCATGTATCATAATTTAACTACTCTGAGAACTGATATATGATGAAGCAATAAGCACCCCTTACAGTGTCATTATGAGCGCCACAATATCATTGTGAATATCATTATGAATATCATATAATGGAGGTAGTTACATAGTATTGTACATAAAGTGCGGCATAATATCTATTTGATGGTTCAAGTACCCTCATATCGTAATTGCCTTGCCCGCTTGTATGTATATTTTATTGAAATTCACAACACCGCACCTGCGAATGGTAGAAATGAGACGTCATCTGCAAATATTCGAGTAACTAAGATCTGCAGGGTACAGCTGTGGCCGGGGATCCCAGACCTGCCGCTGCACACGGATAATGAACCGAGTCCCTTGTTTAACTGGGTCCACCACTTCGCTTTCTGCACTTCTCATTGGTTTTTACATCTCCAGTCTTACACATTGACAGCCCGCCCCACTTGCCCTCTATGTAGGTACCTAGCCTGGACCACTCTATCTAGCGCCGCAACACCGACCCCCAAACTTATGCGCCTTCAACTCATACAACATTCAAGTCAAGCCAAATTCACTACAAGATAACAAGCATTCTAAGAAAGGATATACTCTCTATACAAGGCATTGCTATTACTTTACGATTGTCTATAATCCCAACTACATAAATCAATTCTATTTATTCCAAAGAGACAAAGCCGGCGCAACGCAATTCCACCCAACCTGGACGCACAACACCCACGAGCCCGAGCCACGATGCCGGGTCTCACACTCAACACAAGCGGCGCCGCCCGCGCGGCCACCCATCCCTCTAGTCAAACTTCCGCCGCGGCCGCGAACCCAAGCACGAGCGCAAACACGCAAGACCCCGCGCGTCCCTCCTCACCACCAAGACCGACTTACAGCCCCATCACACCACCTCTAAACCCGGTCGCGCTCCCGCCACGGCCGACATACACGCACAGCTCACATCAGGATCAAGTAGGCATAGCGCCGCCACCACCCGAGCCCATCGACTTCGACAACAATCCAGATGTCCTGGCCCTCAAATCCGCCATCTCCATCCTGCAGCTGCAGCGCCGCAAGGCCGCCGCCGACATGGCGCTACTAAGCCGTGTCAAGACCGCCGCGCTCGCCGAGCCCGAGGCCTTCGTGCGCGACTTGACGACGGGGCGCGTGGGGATGGAAGGCGACGCGCTATATGGCGGTAGTAGTAGCGCTGCGTACGAGGACGATGATGACGATGATGAAGAGGATGAGGACGACGGGATGGAAGACACACAGAGTAATACCGCTGCTGCCGGACAACCCGCACCCTCCATAACTTCACACACCGACTCAAGCAGCAACAGAACAATCACCGACAACTCAGAAGCATCGCACTCGGAAATTAAGAGCGACCCCGACGCCACAGAGTCAGAGTCCTCGCACCATCACCATCACCACCCCCAACCTAACCCCCAACCTAAACCCCAACCCAACCCCCAATCCCGTCCCTGGACCAGGCTCCCCAAGCCGCAAAACGTAGTGCGCTGCCCACCCATCAACTGGGCGCAATACGCCGTCGTCGGCGAGTCCCTCGACAAGCTTCACAGCGAGCAGATCTCGCGGCCCGCGCAAGGGGTCCCAGCAGCCGTTGGGCCCGACGGCCGGTACGAGTTCAAGGGGGAGCCCGGACGGCAGGAGAAGCTAGTTGGGGTCGCGGCGCCGTATGCGCCGGGCAAGGACCGTATTGAGCGGAAGCCTAAGGGGCCTAAGCGATGATAGTGTCCGAGTCTTGCTAGGTGGGCTGCTGATTAGAGCGGGTAGTCTATTCCTTGGAGATGTGAAGAGAGAGAGAGATGGATTAGGTTAGAGATACATAGCTAATCGACTATCAAGTCATGGCTGATGACGAATTCATGTATATTATGAAAAACAGCATCGCGTTTAGAACGGTACAAAGTCTTGGGAACCCGACGTCATGAATAGGAGTTGCTCTATTTTTAACTGTAAATGTCAATACTACTACGGGTGATGGATATTCCGTTTGGTGACATAATAAAATAGCTAGAAGATTGTTACATAGCGAATTTCGAGATAACATGATCTTATAAATTTCTAATCGTTTTACGTAATTGAATTAGTGAAGGCCAGCATACATCGAAACGCACAGCGGCATTTGTATTGAATTTATCGTATTTATCAAGTAGCCCACGAAAGCAAAAGAGGTATCAATCCTAGTCTAGAAGCCGTCCATCTCGGCGGCGGCGTACCTATTCTTAAGCCCCCGAGACCTGGAATCGTTGAGAGTACATTCACCTTCCTATCTGGAACGTCAAGGAATAGACGTGTTGCTAAAAACTCCCTTAAACACCCGCGCCATACGTAACGGAGGTTGATAGCCTCCGACACTGGGTAGTTTTCTGATACAACCGGGGAAGCCATTCGTATGCTCTCCGGGGTAGTCATCCGTAGTCGTTACGCGTGGGAACGCTAGAAGTCTTCCATGCTTCTTTGTACCGATCTGCGCAACTGTCTGTTGTACAACTTTCTCTGTTCGGCGCTGCCCCAGTAAAGCTTATGGGCCTCGGGATGGACTAATGTTCTTGGATCGTAAGGGGGTTGCTCCTCTTCCAAAGCCTCGATGATTGCTTCTATATGCTGCTTGATATCTTCACGGCGGCTAGAATTCGGGAAGTAGCACGGTGTACCATCTGCTGCAATCCGATGGTGGAACATAGGCGTCAAGAATTTGATTCTCGGCTGTTCTTCAGGGAAGCGGGGACTAAAGTTGAGCTTGATTCGAAACATACCCCCATCTAAATTCGTCATGGGTCGTCCGAAGTAGGTGAGATTCCACACAAAGGGGTTTCCATCTACTAGCTCGACATTGTGGGGAACATCGCTGCGCTTAAAGGATTCCTTGATCTGTTCGAACTGTCGCGAAAGGTTAACGGCAACGGTAGTATCCTTCGTCCTAGGAGATGCTCCTTCTGATGCCCATCTTTCGGACTCCGCATCTAAAGCAGCCTTGATCCGACGTATTCTTTTTTCAAGTTCGGTGTAGTTGAACTTCCCGTCCATAGAATTAGATGCTCCTTCAAAAGGCATGCGTGCAAATGGCTGACCGTCCTTGACCTCTTCTTTTGCCTTGGTAATAGTTTCGAGGTATGAGTCATAGTACCAAAGGAAGCGGCGCTTGCAAAGATCCTTAAACGGTTCCCAGGGAACGCTCGCATCGTCCGTCTCCGTATCGTCGTCTGCGTCACCGCCGTACTCTTCCCGTTCCATTGCAGATGCTGGTGAGAGGCAGCTTCCTGTGATTCCCAAGTATTCTTCCAGTCTTTGGATCACAGAGATGCGTAATGTTTCGTGGCGGATCTATAGAAGTTGCCGTTAGAATATTCTAGAAGTATACATGTTTCGACGGGAATTACCTTTGCGATATATTCCTTCTGGTTCTTCTTATCATGGGATTCGTTCGCATCCTCAAAGCCCGGTTCATTCTCGTAAGGATTCGCCGACATGAGACTTTGTATTGAGAGTAGGATGGACTCTAGACCCTGAGCGGCGGACCACTCTTCACCTCGCTCTCCTCGCCATGTACTAAAATCGGATTAGGTTCGTCGGCGAAGGATATATGTATATAAGGGAGGATTATATACCCGAGAATTGACCTAGTATCTTGGTTAGCAGAGCACACGACACAGCCGTTCAATGGTATTTGTTTCGCTTACAGGCAAACTTTCCCCGAGGCATAGATATTCGGATTGAATCGACATCGTCCGCTGTTTGTAGTTGTTCCCGTGACGGCAGGTGACTTCCGGGGGTAGTCTTGTGAATGCCATTAATTAGCTAGCATTTTAAGCTGGGAGGGAATATCGTTAAGAACCAACCTTTGTTGAATTTCACCGAGAACTTGGCAATATCAGCACCTATAGTAACAGATCATATATGGTTATTGGGGGGGAAACTGACCTCGAAGAATCCAAATTCGTAGGGGGTCTCGTGAGGACCGATGATTAAGGCTTTGACACTTCGAACATCGCGATCACGAAATGCTACAGCGAGAGCTGGCGATTAAAATAATAATTAGACCAGGATAAGAATACTTATGTCGGAGAAGGGTTTCTCTTACAAAGGTCTGAACTCTTCTGGAGCTCGCCGATTTCCTGTGGTGAACAGGAATCTCGTCAGCCTCTTTGCCCCTCCAATATGTGAGACGCCATAGCGTTACCTTAGTGATGCGGATGATTGACTGGTCCGCCATAGCTTCTAACAGCTATTCATAAGCCGAAATGGGATATTGAATCGGTAGATCTGATAACGCCGTCACTGGAATGGGAGAATTAGTATTGAAGTTGGGTAAGGTAAGGTTAAATATGGGAAGTTCGTTCAGCGCGCGTCTTATGGGTTTGGGTTGAAGTATTGAAGCAAAAGCAACGAAATAGGTAGCACTTGCAGCTTGCTCTTGAGGTGTAATGCGGGCAGGTGGAGAACGGTCCCAGCGTCTCCCCCAGGCAGAAAGGACCGGGACCCACTATGAGGGTCTAGTGTGTCACTGGTAGTGGGGGGTGACTGCCTTGTTTTACGCTATATTAGCCAATCGCATATATTAGTACCTATTATACAGATTAGATAAGACGTACAATGGGAAGCACATGCAGAATTCTAGACTTTTCTTTCCGTCCTAAGAAGCCTATATTTTCGTTAAACATCTTTTACTTGTTAGAATTATCTGAAATTTATAAGCTGCGTGTTAAAATCTGTGATTGTGTTTCACTATTGAACAACTACTAGCGTCGTGAAACTAACCTAACCTAGTATGTATATGTCTTTAATTGTTTCCAGAAGAGTGCAGCTTCCGGACTTATACAAGATATAAGGTTTTGTACCTAATATACCTAACTATGTAATGTATACTAGGTACTTACATTAGGTACTATCTGCACTAATAATTCAAACAGGTTATGTAGATATGTGATAAGCAACCTTAGCTATCAACCCTAGAAGCCGTACCATCCCGTAACCTATCACCCTGGAGTTATCCCCGTTTCCCCCCTGGCTTCATCGTGGGGAGAGTCAGGAACGCCCCACTCCCAATTTCTCATGGATCTTCAATAATTTGACGTCCTAGCGTGACCATTACCTGAGCTCCAATATTGCCAGGCGGTGAAAGGGGGTAAATTACCAAGATAGTCCGACCATACATACTATGTACATACACCCACAGCTAAAGGTTCTCAGGGTCCTCCAGTATAGCAATTACAGCTTGCATAAAACTATCTCGCCATCATGTCCGAAGCTACAACGAAGCCTTTATTAGGAAATGTCCTCGTCATTGGTGGCTGTGGTTTCCTTGGTCATCACGTCGTGAACATTCTCCTACGCGACTGGAAGTGCACCGTTTCCGTTGTCGATCTTAAGTGCCAACGCAACCGAAGACCCGAATCCGATGGCGTCCAGTACGCCGAGGCCGACATCACCGACGCCGATGGCTTAGTCAAGATCTTCGGAAAGCTGAAACCCGACGTTGTTATACACACTGCCTCGCCACCTGCGCAGGGTCTCGGTGCTGTTGCGAACGAGGTATTCAAGAAGGTCAATGTAGATGGGACTCGCGCTGTGATTGCCGCCTGCCAGCAGAACGGTGTCAAAGCGTTAGTATATACGAGTTCTGCCAGTGTTATGAGCAATAATAAGGATGATCTCGTAAATGCGAATGAGGACTACCCTGTCATCCGGGGTAAAATGCAAACAGAATACTACTCCGAGACAAAGGTATGTCTACATTGCCGGGCTTCTAAAACATGGCGTACATCTTTACTAACGGCTCTGGCTAGGCACATGCTGAGGAACTTGTCTTACAAGCGAATCGTGTTGAAGGATCCGACCTCCTGACTGCAGCTATCCGACCATCCGGTATCTTTGGCGAGGGCGACGTACAATTAGTCTTCCACACAGTCAAGATCTACCGCGAGGGAAAGGACAAGGTACAAGTCGGTCTCAACCAAAATTTATTCGACTTCACATACGTTGAGAACGTAGCCCATGCCCACCTCCTCGCCGCCCGCGCCCTACTAGTCACTCACGCCTCCTCCACCGCGCCCCTCAACCACGAGAAAGTCGACGGCGAGGCTTTCATAATCACCAACGATAGCCCCGTTTACTTCTGGGATTTGATGCGCGCTATATGGCGGGCCGCCGGATCAGAGAAGGGCACCGACCATGTGTGGGTGATGAGTCGGGAGATGGGTATCCTGCTCGGATACTTGAGCGAGGTGTTCTTTGGGATCCTGAAAAAAGCCCCCACTTTCAATCGCCAGCGGATCGTCTACAGCACCATGACGAGATACTATGATATTTCGAAAGCGAAGCGCCGGCTTGGATACAAGCCTCTGGTAAGCCTGAGCGAAGGCGTCAAAAGGACAGTCAAGTGGACTCTAGAACAGGAGAAGAATGCTGCACCAGCAAAATCGTGAGATTTATCTTAGTAAATATTGTCGGATTTGTATTAAATATATATGTAGAAGCTGGAAAACTTAATAGTACACTAATTCATACGAGATTTATGTTGTGGATGACTTAATATTAAGGATATTTGGGGTTATTGAGTTTATCTATGATGAGTCGAATGATAGACAATACGAACCTTGTCCTCGTTTCTCAACACATTTTACTTTAATATACAGGGTATGTAGACGTCAAAGGGGGGTAATAATTGTTACCTAAGAGGCATGGAAAACGAGAATTATCTTATTTCATCAATACGAGAACAATACACTCTAATAACCTCATACAACTTTCTGCCTATATTACATTTCAAACAAGACAACACACACACACACACACATACACAATTACTTCAGAATTATCAATTGAAAGGCTAGGCCTGGAATGCTTCTCTGTCTCTTGTCATTCTCACGATTCGATGAGTATGACTCGCCTTTCACGGCTAACTATCTACGGTACCTGGGTGGTCCGATCAATCAATCACACCTATCGACTAACCTAACGGACGCTCCCGAACAAAAGAAAAGGCCCGAGGCGTATTAGCCGATCTGATCGGGATTGGATATCTGTGGGCACTTGTAGTTGCTGCTGTTTCTGTCTTCTGCCTTACTCCCCCTTTGTTGCTCCTTCAACCCCCCTGTTTCGAAGCCTAGGTCTGCCTAGCTTCAGGAATAATCTACTGATCCGAATTTTTTAGTTAAAAAAAAAGAGTTCGTTGAATAAATCCGACCCGTTCGGGGGAGCAAGCCAAGAAAAAAAAAAGAAAGGCAAAGACATATCCCCTCTACTCCAAGCTGTTGCTGCCAGACCTGATCGGACATGGCACACCACTCCCCAAAGCAAATATGCTTCTAGAACAGAATATAGGTTCACTAGACGACCACTTCGCCTGGGCAAACCCCGCAAATGTTGAAAAAGCGAATCAAAAAAAAAAGTCGCAAAGTCCTATTTGGCGAAAGGAAGAGATGCGCAACGCCGGCCGAAAATGCTGTCGAGTCTCTCTACACCTGATTCATGCTATGTCCTGAAGAAAATCAAGGCTGGCGAACGTGGATGAGATATAAAAATGTTCCCGCTCCGAGTAGTCCATACAAGTCGAACAAGCCCTAACATGGAGAAATATATACCGAGGATCTAAAACCTAATTATTACCCTGTACCAGTCGTGACAGAATTATTTGGTCTGCCCCAGCCCGAGTTGCGCCACTCTCGGCGCTGGCCATTTTCGGGGTTTTTAGGTTGATTATCAGTCCGCTCATACTGGCCTGCATAAGGTGGTTGTCCATTCTCAGGTTGGCGCCAATTCTGTGGCTGGGCTCCTTGGGCTGTCGTAAAAGGAATTGTTGGCTCTTGAATAGGACGTGCACTGCTCTCCTGCTGCCATGCAGCAGGATCTGTAGCGACTCTAGTAGCCATGGGCCGCTTGCCAGTCTCTTGCTGTCTTACGAATTCGTTGCTATCGTATTGTCTAGGGAGTCCACCCGCAGACCTAGTTTCAATACGCTTGAGGATCTCCTTAGTTGTAATATCGCCATTGTTCATGAACAAGGTTGAATCACCCAGAATGTCCATGATTTCAGCAGGAACCTGGTATTATACGTTAGTACGAGGGGAAATGCAAGGGGAAATATACAAAGAGCTTTCTACGTACCATACACATCTCTTCGTTGAATTGTATCAACTCTTCGACGCAAGCTACAGCGGTCATAGGCTCGTCTGAGAAACTCGGGCTCTTTTCGTTCGTATAAAGTACGTTCGGGGCAATTACACGGGCAAGATTGTGTACGTCCATCCTCGATCCGGTATCTTCATCGACCTGGTGGAAAGTAGCCACCCATTTTAAGAAGTTGAAGAGGACTTCTAATGTATCTCGGTGGATCTGTGGAAGTAGGCAGCACGTCAGATGCAGACAATGTCGCCTTTTATCGGTATCTTTAATCTTGGTTGCTGCTATCCAAACTTTGTAAAGCTTCTGTGTCATCAAGGGTTCTGGTAATTCACGGAGATATCGTTTAAGAAGTGCTGCGAGTTGATGCGGAGTTTCGTCATTCCACCGGATGGCATCGCAACCATCTCTGTCAACGGCATTTACCTGTTCGGTGAGCTTCTTGATATTGCCATTCTTACGGAAGACACCTTCGACTGACAGATCCTTATTCTTCAGAGCGGTAATTGTGTCCTCGATAATGGCTGGTATCCGTAGGGCACCCGGTCCCACACCATCCGTAGAGTCGGCGCCATCACGCTCCACGATTAATTCTAATGGAACTCCAAAGACACCCTTCTTCTTTACTGCCTTGCGGGTGTCATTTTTGCCGAATGCCTTGCCGAATTTATTCCAAAATGTCGGCGCCTTTCTTGCCTCGATGAGACTAAGTAATTCCTCAAGTGAAAACTCTGGCTCGAGCATAGGTTGCATCGTAAGGACTGCTACATGTCGAACGATAAAATACTCAAGGCCAGATAGCTCCGAGAAGAACTTCCTCCCGTCTCTTTGAGGCGACCGATCCCCTGGTAAACCCTGGTCGTCTCGTCCTGGAGAAAGACTTCTCTCGTTGTTAGTGCCGTAAGAACCCTCAGTTGTGGCAGATCGGAAGAGCTCTTGGCGCGATGCTCTATACGCGCTAGGCTGCTGCTCCCGAGCCTGTTCGGCTGCGACGATTCGAGGAATATCATCCAGAGTCAGCGCATCCTGGTGTCCGAAATATTGCTTGGTTGTATCGCCTTCGCCTTGCTCTCCATCCTCTTCGATCTGCATAACCTTATTCTGCGAGCCCATTTCCGCGCCGGCAGATCCAGGGCGAACACTGCGTCCTTCAGGTCCATCCATAATCCTTGACGTTCGTGCCTTCCTAAGGCTCGAGGACAGATGCTTATCGAGACGCGTACTCCTAAGTCTACGCACATCATTGAGAGTATTCTCATAAGACGACTCTCTCTGATGTCGCTCCCGCTCGCCACCAAAGGATTTAGACCGGGAGTCTGATCTAATCATCGCAGGACTACCGTCTGTAGACACACGTCCCTCTGGAGAATCTTGGTCATTAAGGCTTGGATCTTCCGAGGATCGAGGAAGAGCGCCATTAGTTCGAAGTATCTCTAGCAACCTGGCTAAGGCGACTTTCAAAAGGAATATGTACTGCTGGAGCTTCGTTATCCGTTCCAAAGGTTGGCCATGCCCGTCAGCCGGATTTTCGCAATTTGAACAAAGAATATTCAGGTCTCGGTGTAGATGAGCCTGGGCCAAGTTCTTGCCTAGTATTTTGCCGCACCGTACGCATGTTACGCAAAACAGATGCCATCTCTTATCCCCGCTCAAAGCGCATTCATCCTCGATGGGCTTGCGGCACAAGGTACAGTGATCCGAGTCATTAGCAGAGAGTCGAGACATACCTAATGTGATCTGCAAGGACTCGTCATCGGTTTTGATTGTTTCGAGCATACTGAGATCTTCGAGGAATTGAAATAGTGCTTCTGGAGAGCGGTGCTCCTTTTCGACTCTAAGCGTTCCTTGGAGGCAAATCCTAATTAGGAGCTTCAGATAATGAGCCAGACCTGTCACGAGAGACAGTAGCTCTTGGGTGACGCCCAATTTCCGCCCAGTAGTCTCTTGCATTTTGGACAGTAATGAAAAGAAGGCTACAATCTTCTTACAGAGAAGTTTTGATTCTCTCGCGTAGGATAAGTCTATAATTTTCTTTTAGTATCTCTGTTCGGTTAGAAGCGTAGTGTTTCATACCAGTCATCTCTGATCGCTTGATAGTCTGATCAAGTCTATCTGCAGATCGGAACAGAATGTCCACGTGTACAATAAACTTTTTGGCGACGAAGACTCCGTCCATGTATGCACCGTTGCTGACATGAAGAAGCATGTCCGAAATACATGCGGCTGAGGATTCTTCGAATGCTGACAAAACGCTCCAAATTCGATAAACCTTGTTCTCCATGTCTTCTTCTTCCTGTCGGACAAGCTCACGGCCCTCGGGGCCCACAGGTTCGGGACGGGGCTCAGCAGGTTCTTGGGGAGCTGTTAGACGGACGTTCCAAAACTTGTGGATCATATAGCACTCTGGATGCCAGTGCTGATTTTGCCCGTTACGGTATATCTCGACAAACTGCTTGAGAATAGCGGTTTGGCAGCCATTGCATCGCTGGGCAAATTGCGTCGAGTAATGGTAATGGCAATACACATTCCCATCATGCTCGTAATAGCTATCCTGAGCCCCAAAGACTGTCGAGCAGAGTGAACAAGTGAAGTGGTCAACATGGTATTTGCGGTCGAGGGCTGTAATATAAGAACCGCGCAAAGCGCCGCCACATTGGTAACATAGAAGACCAAGTCGTCGAAAGTAATCTGTCTCGCAGAGTGGATATTGGCCGCCGGTTTCTTCGTCGTCCGCAGGGAAAAACTTGGAGGCCACAATCTGACCGCAGTCCTGTATTTTGTCAGACACAGAATATATCACTCAGGGGTAATTGAAGCTCTTACACGACATCTAAAGCAGTCAAGATGGTACGTGCCTTCTAAGGCCCGCACAAATTGACCGGTTAAAGATTCACCACACTTGGCACAGATACGAAGCTGCCCACTTGCTGTTCTTCCGCCTCGTCCTCGAGATCGGGTGCGCTCACCGCTTGGTCTCGGGTCGCCTTGAGCACTAAGGGACGGTGAGCCAGGCGGTAGGCTGGGCGGAGGGAAGGCTCCGTTTGAAAAGGATGGGCTCGGTGTCATATTTGGCCGGTCATGGTCAAGTTGGTAGCTGTTCTCGTTGGGTAGCGGCGATGGGTGCCTGTGAATCCGGTCGCCAGCCAGACCGCCTTCGTAGTCGGGGCCCATCATGGCGACCAAAATGAGGTCCTACCTCAGCCTAGCTGTTTAAAATGGAAAGCAGTCGGAATAGAGTTCGGCGCCGAACTAATTCAAGGACAAGACGAGGCGGTAATTACACGATTACGGTAGCGTTGTCCAACGTCAGACATTGGCATCAGACGGCGAAGTTTGTTGTCCTCCAACAGGATGTGCGACTGGATGCGGATGCGGGAACCGGAAAACAATTATTCGGCGTGGCACAGGTGAGATACGGATTTGGCGACGAAGGAAAATATCGGGATCCGGCCAATATCTAGTAGTGAACGAGTGTGGCAGTGAAGTTACCGTAGCTGACGGCTGGTTAAGGCAAGTAGCGGGTAATTTTTTTTTGTCGATGCGACGTAGTCAGAACGGAATTGGGGTTTGCGGTGGAAAAATGGCGGACACTTTAGTTAGTTGGCCGGTAGGAAAAGTTGGATGGATTGGTTGATGATTAATTTTGGGCTTGTTTGAATAGAAATCTGGGTAACGGTAACGAAGGCTTTCGCTAGGAGGCGTCTACTTGTCGAGGATATCGAGAACGTCGATGGTATCGAAACATGCGTTGGCAGATAAAACGATCGTGGAGGATACGATAGCACGGCATGAAGTATGTAACGCCGTAATCAGCTTTTCAGCGGAAAGACAGGGAGGTAGGATGGACTGTTCGTTGCCGGCGAGATCAACCTTCGAGGGCGGAGCTAGGAGCGGGAGCTGCAGTAGAAGGGGGGAACAAGACCGGGGTTGGTGGGAATCTAAATGCAAGACAAAGGGATAATGTTTTTTTTCAACGCATAGGTAGCGTAAGTAGGTGAGAGTAGGGGTAAAGAGGTAGATAAGGTTAGTGTAAAGGTAAGATCAATTCAGATCAATCCAATAACCAAAGGAGGTCCCTTCTGCTGTTTAGACTTCCCGTTGTTAGGATGTTTGAGGGGCTAGGAGTCGAGTCCGAGGATAGGTAGAAGCTTAGTAGGAGGTAGATAGAAGAATAACGTCCGAAAAGAAAAAGAACGGAAAAGAAAAACAATTGATAACCCGTTCAAGGTTGCGACAACACAAGACGGGTATCAGTACGACCAGCGGTTGCTATGAGGTTTTTTGAAAGAAAAGCTGAATAGCTTGGTAAATTATGGTTCGTCCCTAATATTCTTCCTTATAACTTAGGTACCTTTAGAGGTATGTAGGTAGTTAACCTAAGTTGAGTCTAGGAGACTTGACTCCTACTAAAGATTGTAAAAGAAAGCTGGAGAGTTAGCAGGTCTGTAGGTCTGTAGGTCTGCAGGTTAGGAGGCGCAGGATAATGGACCTGAATGGATCACCTGCAATCTAATTGATAGCCTTTAGCGCCTATCTTAGCTCTTGTCCTAAGCTCTCATCCAGTCAAGCCAGTGCTTCAGATACCCCACAACCCACCAACATTTACAAGTGCAAGGTTAGGTACTTTCTACAGTTGTGTAACCGCTAGATAGGTAGAATCATAATAGGGTCTATCACGTGATTCAGGTCCGATTAGATGGACCTCTAGCTTCAGCTTTTAGAACAGTATTATTTATGTGTTTGCTCATACTAAGTTTGCTGCTTAAAAACAAACGTACCTAGTTTAAGCTATGAATAACTAAATCAAGCATAATGATCCATTAAAGAATTTTTCATAGGCTAGAAAGAAACATTAACTTACCTACCTAGGTAACTTAGAGGTAATTTAGTCACTTAGAAATATGAATTGTTGTGCATAAGCCATCCAATTTTAATCCAATTTTAGTTACTCTGCTAACTGCTAACTCCCTAGGTTAAGTTGTTATTTCAATAAGATATGTATTCTCAACTACAAAGTAAACATCTTCTGGTTGGCTTATTAAATATAATTACGGTTCTCATCCAATCACATCATATGAAGTAACGGTCAAATAATTCATTCAACCCTCATACTTTCACCGCTTCGGTGTTCTTTGGTTAGGCCACTTCACTTATCCGTTGGAATGCACCTGAGTACTCAACAAATGTGATCGCGATAGTATAGATGGAGCAACAGGCAGCCGTAGAAATCTTGATTCATATCGGCGCTCCAAGCAGAGCAGCTGATGATGTTTGGTATCGATCTCTCGCCTCTTCCTATCTAAATTTCCAGCCAACCGCCAGTATCGATTTCCTTAACCAAGCATGCTCAACTGTGGATATAGACGATGGGCAGGGGACCCAAGAAGCCCCTATACCAGCCTTCACCACTAGCACACAATCAAGTGAAGCATTTGGCCCGTATAAGTCACCACAAGCCTCATTTAATAGCGTCATTGATAATGACGGTTCACCACGCGTCTTTGCGCGACGGATATTGGAGGATGAGCCTCCGAGTACCAATGATGAAACTACAATACCGATAACACAGTCGTCATGGCAAACACCGTCTAGCGAAGTGCAAGATTCATACGTAGGAAACCCTATCCACATCTCTACTTTCACCTCTCCTACAAGAATCTTGGAGCATTACCTGCAACGGTTTGATTCTCCATCACCATCTCAAAAAACCACATCTCAACGAAGCGGCATCGACATTCCCCTTAGTAGCTCCGAGAGGTCAATTCTTCCTCGCTCTGAAGATAATCCAATTCCCCTTTTAGCCTCATATACACCATCAGTAATACCCTGCACACCCCCGTGTGATCCTCGTTCTAGCCCAGGAGGATTAGTTGAGACAAAAGCCACAGAGGCATACCACACAAGATTTACCCAAGATGAGGTATCTAGTGACAACATTGTCGAGGAGACTATCTTGATACGATCCTCAGACATCTCATCCGCAACCAGGGCGGACTCCGAGCCCCCACCCGCCAAGCGGCACCAACCAGATACTCTCGACAAAGACCCGCGGGCCCTTTTAAGAGCCGCAAGCGACATTGGCCCAAGGGTATCTTCCAGCCAGAAGTCATTCTTAAAAGTAAACTTTTTAAGCGACCACGGATACACATACGACAGTCTAGAACTCCGCGCGCCAGAACCTCCTATCTCAGTAGCGCAGGTCGACCCACAAAGCTTCGTCACTCCAGGCCTCGAAAGCTTAGCCCGGGATCTAGATATTCCGAAGCGATACAAGCCAAAAGAAAGTAAACGAGACCTGCGGCCTTCCGAACGCGGGTACTGGCTCGTAGACTGTTCGGCTTGGGATCCGCAGCTCAAACGCGATGCTTGGGCGTACCTTGCAAACTATGTCGGGACTGGCGTTGCGGGATGGGGCGTCTCGTGTAGGAGGGACAGGGAATTCCAGACTCTCCGGGTTTACTGCTGGGGCTTGGTAACGGCGCATATCTACTTGCTATTATATCTGGCCAGCCAGCGGAAGATTCTGTATACTGGCAGCTCTTGGATTGATAGCGAGGATATCCTAGTTATTGTCATGCAAACGAGAGAATAATACTAATAAGAGTATCTGGTCTATGATAAAGATTGGGAATTAAATTAGGTGTAACAAACATTTACGCTCGGGGTTTGGCGTATGGAATAGGATATCACTGGGATATCTTTAACGAGAATTAGGATTTTCAATTGCCAATACTTTTCACAGCACAAGTTTTGCCTTAATACTAATACAAATCTACCACTATTGCCATCACTAGCGTGGGATCTCCGGGCGATTCTCATTAGTTAGGAAATGGGGATGGATTTTGCGAGACAAACGGACTATTTACAAGTACAAACCGTGTCAAACAAGTAGTCACGGTTAAGCCACTGCATCGTCCCGAAATGAATGTAACGAATTCTTGAGTCGCCACAAGGAAGAATGAGAATCATTGGACGGACCGGCCAATCCCCCAATCGTCTTTCCTCATAACCATGAAGGGGCCACTGGTTCTAGGGCTCATAGCCACCTAGTTTATGTATTTGTAATAGGCGGGAAAAGGAGACCAGATCACGCAGGTGGCTTGGCTGAACGACGTGGGCTAGCCGGCTTGCGATGCAGAACCGCTTCAACTTCCTTCTCATACTCGTCCCTGGCTGCCTTCCCCAGGTCGTCATACGCCTATAGTTAATCTAGTTAGTTTTTGTAATAATCAAAATAGAGACATGAGGCAATCTTACATGGCGTTCCACATCCGCCAACCTCACCCACTCTTTGCCGATTTCCCTGGAGACCTCAGTGAAGGGACGGTTTGCAAAGTCTCCGGAAGCCCATCGTGCCTTTGTGAAAAGACTGTATGGAGTAATGGGTCTCTTGGGGACACGCGGGTCGTGAATGACTTTCAAGGTCGCCACGGGGAAGTTATACTTCCTCTTCAGGAGTTGACGAGCTCGGTTGGCAGCAACCGTCTGATCGGGAGTATGGTCCTCTACCCACGACGCATATGCAGCTGCATTGTTGAGTTTATTTTGCGCACCAGTATCGGCAAGACGCTAATAATGATTAGGACATTCTATAATCAGTATCATGGTAAATTACTAACCTGTAGCTCCGAGGCTGGAATGTTTCTGTAGTTCTGAGCTAACTCTACCATCCGAGCTCGAAGATCTGACGGGCTCGTAGATTTATTCTTAGTTTGCTCAGCTACATATACAGTCCATGGGCTATCGGGAAGGAGCTTTGGTTCGTCAAATAATGCCGTCTTCTTGAGCATTCTTTTCTCAAGGATGGCCTGCTTCTTTGGTGACAATTGCTTTCGCTTTCGTACGGCCCTGCCCTTGCCTTTTGACTTGGTGGCTTTGGCCTTAGTTGCTTTCTTGGGTCTTGCTTTAGTAGCTGTTGCTTTGGTAGTACCTTTGGTGGCTCTGGTGGACTTGGCCTTGGTGGCATTGGTAGTCTTAGTAGTCTTGGTGGCTTTAGGCTTAGAGGTTTTGGTGGTGGTCTTAGTAGCAGTGGAAGCCTTTGGTTGTCCTGCAGTCGCAAAGCCTTGGACGAAGCCGCGACCACGACTAATGGGCCATGAGATCGCAATGCGGCGGGGTGTCGTAGTGGCAGATGTAGAGACTAGCCGTCTAATCGCGGCACGTCCTATAGACGACAGCATGATAGGCAACTAAAGTTTGTTGTTGAAATTTTCACGTGGAATTGAACGGAATAGAAAAAAGAAAAGAGTAATTTGCAGGTGGGACTAGAGGGGCACCTGGTTGCGTTGAGGACGGAATTGAGAGTCGCAATCCGGACCCATGTTTATTCCACACGCGACAAATTGAGACAAATTAATGCAGCTACCTACCTAAACTTGTGCTTGAGCTTTTTCTGTTGTGTGATGTGCTATCTGCTATCTAGCGGACCCACTTACAACCTAGCTCCCCACACACCTAGGTAAAATTACAAGCTACCTACATAGGTTAGTTGGTTACCTAAGGTTAGGTACCTGTCTAGCGAACATAGTGGCGTCATGCGTAAAAAGTCAGATGTTTAAGCCACATATATTCTGTACAATGGTTATTCTTCAGCCCCTTTAGCCACATATTGATTTTTTTTTATACGGCCGAAAGTTGGAAGGTTCTTTGAGCTAAAATATACTGAACTAAATTAACTGACTGCTCACCTGCAGTCAAATAACTTCTTCATTCATCCTTTACTTCCTCCAAGTTAGAATACACCCAAACACCCAAACGACCAGATTAATCTGCTAGTATAGCTAAGGCACGAGAAATATTCGAGCTTCAATTCATTAGGTGATCTTTCTATTAAGTTTGGTCGTCTAACTGGAAGCTTCCTTCGAGTTCCTCTGGTAGCTCTCACCATTGTAGTGCGACCGAGCCGTACTATATATAAAAAACCATGGCTCGGCTCAGAGACTCACGCTCACCAACTCCAGCAGGAAGCCAGCAACCCTCCAGAAGACATCGTAGAGATGACGATAGAAAGGATCGAGATCGATTTCGGGATCGGGATCGCCGAGACTATGGGCGCGACCTAAGACGCCGAAGTCGCTCTCGAAGCCCACACGATGTGAGACACCATAGATCTAGCAGATCTAGCGATCTTCACTTTACTAACAATTATTTGCTACAGCGTCGTAATCGCGACCGGGACCGCGACCGGGATAGAGACCATGACTTCCGCCGCCGTGACCGTTCCGTAGACCGTCCCGTAGACCGTCGAGGTGATGACCATTATCGAGGTGGAAGGGACCGCAGACGGTCGCGTGATCGCCCCGTAGATAGGGAGAGAGACCGCTCTACCGAACCTCGCCGGCGCAGAAGCCGCGACCGTGATGGTGACAGGGATCTCCGAACTAGGCGAGACGACTCCCGTGATCGAGTCAGAGGACGACGCGAAGGTACTGCTGACTCTCATCCGCGCAGTAGGCGAGGTGATAGCCGCGAGCGAGGCCCGGCGCCCAGCGATGCCGTTAAGGCGAAGCCATCAGATGTATGTTTTATAAACTCGTTATATTATACTATAGATACTAATACATCTTTAATTTATAGGTAGAATCGAAACCAAAGCCTGCTCCCGCCCAGTCTGATACCGATAAAAAGGCTGAACGCCTTGCCAAGTTGGCAGCATGGAAAAAGAAGCAAGAGGAGAAGGAGAAACAGAAAGAGCCGACTCCAGGTGGAACTCGGAAGCTTCTTGCTGAGATGGACGAAAAGGCTAACACTGTACCCTCCAATACAACACCTGTAGGAGCTTCTCCGACGCCAGTATCGCCTGCTGACTCGCAGGTCCCTTCACCAGCAACCCCATATGCTGGTAAATTTGATCCCAAGGCTATCGCTAAAAAGTCGGCTCCTAAAGCGCACTCTCCAGCCGCGCCTAAACTAGGTGCCGTTGCCGGTCAGCCACCGTCTATAAGCCTCAGTTCAACCACACAAGTCTCAAGTGGTGAGTATTTACGCCAGTGTGTCTCCTGTCGAGTTGCTAATAATATTACTGAAGTGTCTGCTCTTCCGCAAAGCAGGGCTAAAACAAGTGGCTTCGGTTTCCACAAGCAAAATGCAGAAACCGAGAAAGTTGCTCAAAAGCGGAAGTTGATACTAGATGAAGAAGAGACATCAGACAGAAAACTTGCTAAGCTACCCTCCCTACCCCTCGACGACGTAGATGATACACCCTATGAAAATCAGGACGAAGAGGATGACGATGATACTGTTCCTTTCGCCGGGGATGAAGAGGAAGAGGCCGCTGCAGCCCGAGCAGCTCAAGAGAGACGAGAGGAACGTATTGCGCAAGAGAATGCGCAGCAGACGACGGAAATGCAGGTTGACCAAGACGAGGAAGAAACAACTCCAGAAACGAATGGTGCCGCTCAGACTACCCAGCCGGATGATGTCATGGAAGTCGACGAGGAGGATGTTGATCCTCTAGACGCCTTCATGAATGATCTTGAGACCAAGCCCGCTACTGATCCACGTCCCAAAGCAAGCCTCAACCAGAGCAAAGATTTGCAAGAGCCGGAAGCGTATTTCAGCGACGATGAGTATGACTACCGGAATGAGAATGTGGACCCCGATTCGTTCTTGGCTATCGCGGCGAAAGCTCGCAAGAAGAAGGACATCCCATCTGTTGATTACAGCAAGCTTGACTTACAACCTGTTCGAAAAAATTTCTGGGTCGAACCATCTGAGTTATCAGAGATGACCGATGTCGAATTAGCAGACCTGCGCATTGAACTGGACGGGATCAAGGTATCTGGTAAGGACGTGCCGAAGCCTGTCCAAAAGTGGTCTCAATGTGCTCTGTCGCGGAAAACGCTCGATATTGTTGATAGCTTAGGATACGAAAAGCCCACGCCGATTCAGATGCAAGCGTTTCCTACAATCATGTCTGGTCGAGACGTCATTGGCGTTGCGAAGACCGGATCGGGAAAAACTCTAGCTTTCTTATTACCTATGTTCAGGCACATCAAGGATCAACGACCCCTGAAGGAGAGCGAAGGTCCTATTAGCTTGATTATGACTCCTACGCGTGAGTTAGCTACCCAAATCTACCGAGACTGCAAACCATTCCTTAAGTCAATGAACCTTCGCGGAGTCTGCGCATACGGTGGCGCGCCCATCAAAGATCACATCGCCGAGTTGAAGAGAGGCGCAGAAATTGTGGTTTGCACCCCAGGTCGTATGATTGATCTGCTAGCAGCGAATCAAGGTCGCGTGACTAACCTAAAGAGGGTTACGTATGTCGTCCTTGACGAGGCAGACAGAATGTTTGACATGGGTTTCGAGCCCCAGGTAATGAAGATCTTCGCGAATATGCGACCAGACCGCCAGACAATTCTCTTCTCGGCCACCATGCCTCGTATCATGGATGCGCTGGCTAAGAAGGTTCTGAACAATCCTGTAGAAATCACTGTAGGAGGGAAAAGCGTTGTCGCCCCTGAAATCACCCAAGTTGTCGAGATCCGAGAAGAAAATACCAAATTCGTTCGCCTACTTGAGCTCTTGGGCGTGCTTTACGACAGGGACGAGGATGCTCGAGCGCTAATATTCGTGGAACGCCAGGAGAAGGCAGATGACTTACTGAAGGAACTATTGCGCAAAGGTTACCCTTGCATGTCAATTCACGGCGGGAAGGATCAAATCGACAGGGATTCGACCATTATAGATTTTAAAGCTGGAGTTATTCCGGTCCTCATCGCGACGTCCGTGGCAGCTCGTGGTCTCGATGTTAAGCAACTAAAACTGGTCGTCAATTACGACGCCCCGAACCATCTCGAAGACTATGTGCACCGTGCCGGCCGTACCGGGCGTGCGGGTAACAAAGGAACAGCAGTCACTTTTATAACAAGAGACCAAGAAAACTGCGCGCCAGGAATCGCGAAGGCTTTAGAGCAAAGTGGACAAGAAATACCGCCGGAACTGGATGAAATGCGTAAAGCATTTAGGGATAAAGTCAAGTCTGGCAAAGCCAAAGATCAATCTGGCTTTGGCGGCAAGGGACTAGAGAGGCTTGATCAGGAGAGAGAAGCAGCCCGGCTCAGAGAGCGGAAATCCCATCGGACAGAAGGCGAGGAGGAGGAAGAAAAGAAAGAGGAGAAAAATGGCGAGGACAAGAAAGGCGATAAGGCTCTGTCAGCCATTCAGACAGCCTCTTCGGGTATTATCTCTCGCGATGCTGCTGCTGCTGCTGCTCCGAAGATTGATCTCGAGCCGAAATTTACTATCCACAAGAGGGAAGAGCCTGCACCGTCCGCAAGCGCCAGCAATCCCTTGGACAAGGTATCTTCTGCGATCAATGCTATCAATGCTCGCTTAGGTCGCGCGGGCCAGCTAAGACCGGGTCAACCAATCGACAACAAAGGCCCAGACGCAGGTGCATTCCACGCAACTCTCGAAATTAACGATTTTCCACAGAAGGCCCGCTGGGCCGTCACCAATAGAACCAATGTCGCCAAAATTCTTGAGGCGACTGGAACGTCTATTACCAACAAAGGAACATTTTATCGGCCTGGTCAAGAGGTACCGCCTGATGGTGAACCTAAGCTTTACATTCTGGTAGAAGGTGATACTGAGTTAATGGTGGCTAACGCCATGGCCGAGCTTACTCGCTTACTCAAGGAGGGTACTATCGCCGCCGCCGATGCGGATAATAGGGCCCCCATTGGTGGTAGATACACCGTCACTTAGGGCAGTAGCGTTTAGGTATGTATCTTAAGGACAAGTTAATGGATAGTAGTAGTAGTAGAACTAGCGTGCTCCATTTACGAAAGGATTTTGTTTGGCGTTTGGCAGGTCGGAGAACAAGGCGGACGTACACAATTCAAATCGAATGAAGAGTCGCTAGGTAATGCTTTCAATTAAAATGGATCAATATGTTTGTGCCTTGCTTATGTAACTACCACCTAACTTAGTTATAAGTTCTCGCGTTCGCTGCCTCGTCGGCGTCCCGTTGCCTTATCTCATTGTTACTAAGCTCCTTAAGTGTATCATTGCGTGTTTGCTTCTTCTGTGCTGCCAACTGCGTGCCTAGCTTTCCCGTAGACTTCGAAGCCGTAGCATTTGCCCTTGCCTATAAATGACAGTTTAGAACAGATGGTATGAATAGGCGATATGACTAAATTTGCAGGGTAGGTAAGATAGGAGACGTTACCTCTGCAGCTTCGGCAGCTCGTTTCCGAGCCTCCTCTGCGGCGCTATTATCTTGTGGCTTTTGAGAGTTTCCGCCCAAGGTCCGAGACGGGCCGCCGACCGAAGCCGGGACGGACGAGCGTTCCGGTTGGGGCGGGGCGGAACCGAGGACGCGACCGGGTTGAGAAAAGTTGTCACTTTCCGATTTGCCACAGATATTTCCCATCTTCTTCTTTCAGAGGCTAACAGTGGGGATAACCGGACCCAATATAGTTCTCTAAACTTAACCTGATCTGTTGCGGGAATGATTTGCTAAGGTGCGTAATCTAATACCTAGATGAAACTGGGATTTTACGTTGCTAGGCGGTCTGTTTGCTATGCGGTAAGTGCGATTTAGACGCGGGACGGGTGTTTCCATATGACGAAATGCAAGGCGTTGTGCTAATTTGATGAGTCAAAATGAGGCTCAAAAGATCTGTAATGCAAAAGTTTAGGTAAGCTGCTTAGATTTACGCACTGGCAAAGCAGATGCACATGTATGTTATGTAGGCTGGCATGTCAAATCTTCTTACCGAAACGAGCTTTAGGACCCTGAAAGCTGAGGTGGGGTTAGAGGGGAACGTATATCTTAGGTACATAATTTATACAGAATCAATGTTGGGTTTTCAGAGGAGTATAGTTGTAGTTTTGTAAGTACTTTGTAGGTACTTGCATGTTCTCAGCCTCTCAATTTAACTCATGCTTTTGAGCATGTGCCCTGTACGGGAGGGACCCACTATAAGATAAGAACCTTGATGGCCACTTGTCACTATACGCCATGCTGACTACAATACGTGGGCTGCATAGTATGTATGTACATAGGTACATACGCACAGAAGTTTAGCCCCACATAAGCATTTTCTAACAAATCCATAGCCATTGATTGGTTCAAATCAACGTCAGCGTCAAAAAACCCAGTCGAATCCTGCGCCTGGACCAAGCATCACCAATGCACAATGCATAAAGAAAGAGCCACAAGCCTTAGAGTCTTTGTTTGCGGTTCAAACGGGAGGAACGACAAAGGGGGTTGCAGGAGGTTGATATTCTACTAGCATGGAATTAGTGATTTTTAAAGTTTATTGTTACTGTACCTTGGTGTTTCTTGACTAAAAAAAAAAACTGTTGCGTAGTTACTGCAAGTACCACAAACTTTAGAACTTTGTCACAACCCGACCATCAAGGTTCTCAACCCTCGACCTGAATTCTGCCCATTTGCCCACACCACCCTTTTCTACCTCTTAACTTTTTTTCCTCTTCTTTTATGAACGAGACGAAGAGCCTCAATTCGTAATATTCCGTGCGGCCGGTGTCGATCTATCCTAATCCTAGATCTCATATCCCGTTGGCGCACTGGCCAATACTCATCTCATACCGAAGACATCAAGTTCTTAACTTCTTCACCTAGTTCACAGCCTCAGATCTTCTACCAAAAAGCTATCGACTTAGAATCCCCTTTCCCGTAACGGGTCATGTTGAGTCGGAACATCCACCATGACTATGTATGGAGGGATGGACGACTCAGTCGATCCCAATGATGCGACTTATGGCCTTCCTTCTCTTACATCGTCACCCTCAATGGAGAGACTCACCAATTCTCTTACACCTAACTCTCATAATTTCGATAACGCATTTTCCTTTGGCCCCTCATCTTCTTATGATACCGTTGAACCCTCGTCACTAGATCTCCACCATACATCTCATGATGATACTTGCCTGGACAAGTGCGTAGGCACCTTAAACCCTCATGGGATACACCGGAATGCCTTTGGCCCGCCCTTTCCTCCTAGGACCCGGCTTACCATCTCGGCTTTCCCATACCCTTATCATCTACTCGAGAACAATGTATTCCAACAGCCGATGCAACAATTCAACAATTTTTATCCGGATCCTTTCCAGGATATGAGCCTGAAGTATGGCCTAAATCACGATATCAGACCAGGGCATCATAACTCCTTTAGTGAGTCACTCCTCGGGAACAACTTCAATACTACAGACTTAGGACCTCCGCAGCGCCCTGTTCCTGACGATTGCGCTTCCGTGAATTGTAGCAAATTTTCATGCTCGAGCGAATGTTGTTCCACTCAAGTCTGCCAAGAGGAAGAATGCTCTGGAGATGGTACGCCCTGCGACGACCTGGACTGCCTCAATAGCACTACACAAGCCATCGACGAAATATGGAATCTCGGCCAAGGCTGGCATAATTCTACACCATCAGACCTAACTTTGCCCCCACATAACCCACCTTGTAATCACACCAACACTGAGCACGATGTTGCCATTACCCTGCGGGACCTGGGGGCGCCGGGTACTTTGAATCCTTCGCAGCAGCAGCAACATAACTTTCAGCAGTTCGATCGCCGCTTCCTTGATGCAGCCGAGCACCAACTAGACCCTGCCCAACAACTCTCCCTACCTATCCACCATCATCCAAGCCTCTCTTGTACCCCTGAGATAGATTCAATACCGACTCCGTTGAATGAACCTTTTATTGAGGCTGAAGGTACGACTCAACTTGTTTGCCAGTGGGTAATATCTCCTGGGGGAGAGGGTCAAGACATCTGCGGTCATGTTTGCAATGATAGCTATTCTCTCCATGAGCACTTGTGTAGTGACCACATTTCGTTGCTAACGAGCAAGACGAAATACCTCTGTCTCTGGAACGGCTGTCCCCGCCGTGGTGACCAAGTATTCGCCTCTCGTAACAAACTGCGGCGTCATCTTGCAACCCACACAGCTTGTAAGTCGATTTCACCCAGTTCTCAAGAATGATATTAACAATAGACAAGACAAACCGCATAAATGCGCAATATGTGGCGAGGGCTTCTCGGCGCAACAAGCTCTTGACCAACATGTCAGGACGCACACAGGCGAGACGCCGTATAAGTGCGACTTTGAAGGATGTGGCAAGTCTTTCAAGCAGAAGAGTGCTCTAAGTATGTATACGTACCCGGTCGTTTCGTATCCTATTGGACGGAGGACTAACCTGAGGTAGCTATGCATAAGCGTACTCACACCGGCGAGAAGCCATTGGAATGCGATATATGCGGCAAGTGCTTCTGCGAATCATCCAACCTTTCGAAGCACCGGAAGACACATAATCCGGATTACAAATTCAAATGCGACGAGCCTGGTTGCACAAGTCAGTTCATCCGAATCGACCAGTTACGTAGACATCAGGCCAGACATGAAAGACCGAAGAAGAAGCAGAAGACTCGAATAGCGGCTGGACCAGCTTTGTCACCTATGTCACCAGAAACACCGCGTGACACCGTCCTGGAGCAGCAGGCTTCTATGCAAGCTTAGGAGCCTTGGATGGATACTTATATTACGTTTACTTAGGAACAAGCTATGAATCAAAAAGCGAACTACATATTGGAAGGCTCTTGGCCAGGGGGGACGATATCATTGGGTTTATAGCATTTGAAGGGTTTAGGAGTACGTGGCCCTAGGTGGTCAGGATTATAAGCGGTAAATTTTGGGGTACCATACATGATATGATGTACATACGAGCGATTAAAAGCGGGAGCGGGAGCGGCAGCGATTCAATCTATCAAATCCAGCGTTTTATTAAACAAAGCACCGAATTCTAGTCTCGTATAAACTAACGTAGTAAATCTCATAGACATGGTGACTTGGGGGCCTGAGCACACTAACATTTACATATTATTTCTTATTGTGAAGGCTTAATCTGCACTTGTAGTCTAAGGTCAACCGATCTTGAACTAGAGTTTGGTTATCTAACTAGTTATCATGAGGTGACTGTTCGATTTCACTGACATGGTTAGTAAGGTGCCTACCTACTAGTTATACCAACTTACTATGTCTAGAATTCTTCGACATTTCAAAATAATTAGACATGTCTTGTAGTAAAATGTCTTCGTTACCATATACTTACATTCATATGTATAGGTACCTAAGTTATCTCAGATTCGGAAAGGCCTTGCTGGAGTTACGTATATAAGTATCCTACGGTAAATTGATATTTTCTTGATCTTATATGGTTAACTTCGTCAACCTGCCTCCTTTATCTTTCTTAGTGTACGCGTTTTATAAATTCTCTTGATAACATCCGCTCATAAATGCTAGAGATTAAGGGGGCGAGCCAAGCTTGGAGTTTGTAAACGCTCGAGAAACGAGTCCCTTGATTTATTATCGAAGTTAAACGGCATATCCCTTACGTCAATTTAGATATAGATTATCCTCGGGGTTGGTGTAGGTGAGTTGGCTCAAGTTAAAAAGGACGAATTATGTTAGGCTTGTTATTGGTTATTAGCACTTGTGGTATTTTGATAAACCAATGGACTCGTAATTGTGAAATTAGTAAAGAGCTGTTTTTGAAATACCGTCGCTGATAAGTGTAACCTACAATGGGCATAAATGCTGATGCTTAGGTAAAAGAGTCCTGGATTTGGATGCTATAAGACGGTAATAAGGATTAAATATTAGCCCTCTAGCTATGGGCATATTCTCCGTTACCATGGGCATGCTGTTTTCTTATGGCGGTCGACGCGCCCTCTATTCATTATATTGAGTTTGCTGACCAGAATACCTATGTCTGTATATGTATATGTATCTATGCGCTCTATACTTACTTGATCAGCGAATCGATGCAGGAGCTAGTATAGATTTGCTTAGACCTATGAATCTGTTAGTGGGACTAGATGGTCTAGAGAAAATATATTGTTCTATTTTGATACTATTATAAATGAGCGTAATGTCTTTGACTGATTTTTACTATTGTTTGAGTTTATCATCGCATTTCAAACTGCAATGCGGCTTGATACGTGGAAGACGACATGGGTTCTCAGTTAAGATGGATTTTCACTTAGATTTGAGACTTCTAGCAAATCACATTGACTCGGTGAACTGCGAGGAATTTGTTCAGCGCCCGAAGGCAAGTCTTTTTGCATTGGGCAGCGACATTGACTGCAAAGTGTGACCTCGTAAACACCTATGAACCGAAAAAGCCGTGTGATGCCATGCAAATATCAGGATTCCTTTTTTTTGGAATGACCACGACGCCCGTCTACTACCTCAAAAAGCGTCCACGTTTCCCTTTCCTACAACCGAAATTATTCGTCTAAGCAGCCTATAGATACCCGTGGTGTTAGCTCGATGGTTTTAGTTGAATAGAACGATATCCTCGTAGCTATTTGTGCATATATAGATTCGGGAAGTTCAGCGTACCTTGACAGCGTACTTTCGCTGGGGGAAATGCGAGGCTCGCTTGCGTGTCTTCTCGAGGGTCTTGGACTTCTCTTCAGGCGACAGTCGGCGGCGGATGGCGCGGGTCTGCTTAGGTCGGAGGTCCAGAGGGAGGTACTTCTTGTTCTTGTAGAACAAACGTAGCTGTGATCGTTGCTTAAGGTTCACGACTGTGAGGACACGGGCGATAGACTTTCGTAGATCGTGACTGGAGAGCAGGGAGCATTGTTAGTGATGAAAATCCTATGCACAATTGCCTTTTTTTTCTTGACTCGTGATTACCGCGAGAGGAAGGGAGGGAGGCTCGAAAAGTTCTGATATCACAAAAAACCACAATCGGATCGAAATAGTGTAAACATACATCTTGTTGAGCTTGCTACCGCTTGAAACGACCTGCTGAATGCGGAGCTGGCCGAGCTCGGTCTTGAGCTCTCCGAGAGTCTTCAATAAGTCCTCCTTGCTCTTGTTCCAGAGCTGACCCGTCTTAACCTTAGAAGCCGACTAAAACGAAGAATTAGCGACGATGATTCGACATTTTTACGCGTGCGGCGGTCGCATTGATTGATCGGTCGACTTACCATCTTGAATGGCTGGATTTGTTAGTAAAGAGGTGAGGTCGGGTCTCCGGTAAACTTTCTTGAGGTTGTCTTGAAATTTCCGCCTAGAGAATTTGGTAGACTACTAAAAGAATTGATTTGGTCGCAGTAGGGTTGTGGGCTGAAAAGTTTGGTCAGGTGACTGATAAATCTAAAAGGCCCCGCTTTTGTGTAGTTAGACGAGTGGCAGTCCATGAGTACGTACTTTCACTAGCCACAGCACCTTAATTGCACAGCCATACTTCTCGCAGTCCTCAGTGGAATGCGATGTTACCGAAATCCCAAGACATGCAATGGTACATAGATTTATGTATCTAATACCTAGTACGAACATCACGACCTTTTACTAAAGCTATTATCATCATCAACGTACCACTTACACAAGCGCTTCTCGCATCCATTAATTTTACGACCTATACCAATATACTACCAAGAGCGTCACCTAGGTCTACTTGTTTGTTGTTGAATGTAGATATACCAGTACCTGGTTTTCAGCAACGTATCCTTCATTACAAATTGCTTACATGGGACGTCCACATTAAAGAGGCAGTCTCTGCGTAATTTCTCTCACACATTCTACTTTAGGGATGACCAGTACCTATAGAACTCGACCTTAACATATAATCTTCATAAACCAGCTCCAGATATGGCTGCGCCGACAGGGAACCAGGGCTGGGCCCAATTGCGCCAACAAGCTCGAAGCTTAGAGTCCCAGGTACTACACATGCCAACTACGCGCAAAGTCAAGGCAATACTGACCTCACAACTCATAGACGGAGACGCTGTTTCATACATACTCACAATTCTCTACCGTTCCTAATATACCGGCGAAGCCGACTAAGGAGGAACGAGAGACGGAAGCGAAATTAGAGGAGATACTCGATAAGGTAGAACCACACCATCCAACTTGCCTACTAGCCATTAGGCTACGCAGATCTTAACTAACCACTATTTAAAGAGGGACAATATCGTCAACCAACTTACGCGTCTCCTAGACTCCGAAGCGAGCCTTACATCCTCCGCCCTCAAGCAGAACAACCTCTCCCTACTCCGCGAGAAGCTCGCCGAGCACAGACGAGATCTAGGACGGTTGCGGTCCGGCTTACAGGAAGCACGGAACCGCGCAAACCTACTCTCAAACGTCCGCGACGACATCCAGACGTACCGAGCGAACAACCCCGAAGCCGCCGAGGCCGAGTACATGTTAGACGAGCGCAACCGCATCGACAACAGCCACAACATGGTCGACAGCGTCCTCAGCCAAGCCTACGCCACCAACGAGAACTTCCTCGTGCAGCGGGAAACCCTGGCCAGCATCAACCGGAGGATCACTATGGCCGCGAGCCAAGTCCCCGGTTTAAACACCCTGATTGGCAAGATCTCGGCGCGGAAGCGGCGAGATAGCTTCATCATGGGCGGCTTCGTCGCGTTCTGCTTCGTGATCTTTTGGTTTTTCTTGTAGGCGGTAGCGGTAATGAAGATCGGCGGCTTGTCTTTTTGGACTAGGGTGGAAATACCTTGGCTTTTCTAGTTGGCATTATTTCCTGCAAGGCGTTCCGGCTAATTCAGAGGGGACGAAAGTACGCTGTATAATATGAAAGGGGAAAAGATATGCCAGAGAATTGGTCATAGAAAGCCTATCAAATGGATGGCGGTAACTAATACGACTAGCTCGCACCGTTGTGGTCTAACATAGAACAATCAAGGGGAACTTTTAGCGTTGAGCTATTTGCCTTGTAAATTGAGGAGCGGGTATCATTTTTTGATCATAGCACGTAATAATACATGGCTTGTTAGCTTTTCTTCGAGCTCTTTGCCTCATCTAGAAGTCGCTGGACGCCCTTGACTAATCCCTCTCGTTCGTGATCCTCGCTAGGACCACTGCCTGCCCATCGTATCCTACATTGGCCGTCGAGGAGGTATACGTAACCGACACTGCTATTTAGAAGACCAGTGTTCTCGCGAATCTCATCATTAAGCCCCTTCCGCACAATGAAGTACCGGTCCCAATTCGGCTCGCCAATCCGGCGTCTAATTCCGCCCATAAACAGCTTGATCAACCAAGCCTTCATAGAGTTGTCCTCGTAGTTAATCCAGACTCGCTGGACCACGTCCTTATTCTGCTCCAGCACCGTCTCTAGCTCGGGATTGGCTTCCTTCGACACGAACGAGTTGATCTGGTTCTCGGCCCACACGCTGCTGAATACACTGACGATAGAAATCTTATTCTGTAGCGTGGGCGTCGTGTCGCGGGGCTTGCGGTCGCTTTTTAATAGCGTTCGCCCGAATAGGTTCGGGAAGAAGAGAGATAGGTCCCCTTTGAAGGGCCGCGGCGGAACGAAAAATGTCTTGCCCTTGTGGAAGCGCAGGTTGCCCCAGTCGCGGTAGTATGGGCGCGACATCTTGCTCATCCTGTGAGTAGTGGGGATGTTAGTTAGCTACCCCGCCAAAGCATTGTGGACAATTGGGGGGATATGTGTGGCATACAGTTCATCTCGTCGCTTTAGATGCTTGTCGTAGTTTACGAGATCATCGCGGCGCTGTTTTAACGTCCGGTTATCTATGCCGGTGTTCTCGCCCGGTTTCGGTGGTTGCGGCATGCCTATCGGCCGGTTCAGCGGCTTCGGCGTGAACTTTTCGGTCCGCTTGCCGTATGACCTCGGCGCATCTTCTAACGGAGAAGGAGGTATGACTTTGGCCGGCGCCGGTGAGGACGGTGCCTCCGGTTTGGCCGGTTTATTACTTGCGGCAGGTTTTATAGCCTTCGTTGTAGCAGGACCTTGCTCCGCCAGCAAGCGGTACGAGGTACTAAAAGCTCTCGACTGGCAGAGCAGGCATAGGAGCCCCGGCCTACGGGCAAGCAACATGATTCGAGGGGATATATTAGGTAGGTAGCTAATAATAATACATTTCAATTAGATGGTTGCGAGCTGAGGCTAAGCGGATGCTGCCGTTAGCATCACGCACTTCAAATTCTAACGTTCGTAGAATTTCACTAAGACCGAAGCTAAAAGATTAAAAAAAAAAAAAAGATTACCTAAGTGACATAATTAAGTGGCATTATCGCTCGTCAAAGGTTCGCGGCACACCTGCAGGAACGCGACCTAGTGGATCCAATTACATGGTCATCCAATTGTAGTGGGGTAAGAGTATAAAAGCCTTGAAAGCGGCCGTGTCTACCGTGGCGGGCTGAGCGGCCACAATCGGCTTCCCCAGATTCCGGAAAGCAACGGCACAATGTGGGGGAATTGGAAGTCGTCGGTCTAAAGCCCGTAGCTTTTTGGAAGGGCGGGAAGGTCAGCATCGTTACCTAGGTTAGTCTCTCCCCTCTTACTTTCCTCTTCTTCCATAAACTGAGCTTCCCATGTATTAGTTGCGTCTCGTTTCGTTTTTTAGATAATCTAAAATGTAATATTCTTAATTCAACTATATACCCTACCTATCTATACAATGTTTCTTCACCGTAGTTCTCGCGCAATTCGCCATCAATGGCGACTATGCCGGGGTCTAAATCGCACTCCCGAGTCCCAAGTCCGCGCTGCCCTAATAAGAGGCTTTCATGCGAGCAGGAATCTGCAGGTCGTGAAGCCCGTCCTCCTTGCTGATATCGGCGAAGGTGAGAATTCATTCATATCAGATCGTTATCTTCTTGTGCCTCCGTGCTGGTACTGGTGCTTACACCGCGTATAGGTATTGTGGAGTGCGAAATCATACAATGGTTTGTCGAACCCAATGCCCGAGTCGAGGAGTTCTCACCCCTGTGCGAGGTCCAGAGCGATAAAGCCTCGGTCGAGATCACAAGTCGCTTCTCGGGTGTTGTGAAGAAGCTATATTACGAGGCCGGCGAAATGGCGAAAGTAGGCAAACCGTTCGTGGATATTGATATACAAGGTGGCGCGAGTCAGGAAGCATTGGACGCTCTTACCACCCCTGAGTCTTCAAGAGAAGGAGCCTCGGAGCCGTTAAACAAGGAGTCATTAAGCAACCCTCCTCAGAGTCAAGATACTATAGATAAGGCAGTCGAGCCCAAGTCCCAGCCACCTCCGGTAAAGAAGGGGAAGTATGCATCTCTAGCAACTCCAGCGGTTCGACATCGGTTAAAAGAACTAAATATTGATATAATGGAAGTTGAGGGAACAGGGAAAGATGGTAGAGTCCTAAAAGAAGATATCTATAAATTTGTTGAAAAGAGAGATTCTCCTACGCAACCATCTCAACCAACGAGTTTATTTCCAGGCATACCGCCGGAGACGGAGAAACAAACTGAGACCGCTATACAACTGACGAATACGCAACAACAAATGTTTAAGACTATGACTCGGTCTTTAGCCATACCGCACTTCCTCTACGCGGACGAGATCGACTTCTCTCAGCTAGTTGAGTTACGCCGGCGGCTTAACAAGGTTGTATCGGAATCTTCAACTGACGGACAGTTATCAAAATTAACCTATTTACCTTTTATCGTAAAAGCAGTCTCCATAGCGTTACATCAGTATCCTATACTAAATGCTCGCGTCGACGTGGACCCCGAGACCTCTAAACCGAGGCTGGTTCACCGCAGTCAGCACAATATCGGCGTCGCTATGGATACCCCCTCAGGGCTTATAGTTCCCGTAATCAAGAATGCTGGAGCGAAGAGCATCCTCTCTATAGCTGCAGAGTTATCACGTCTGCAATCGCTAGCTGCGGCTGGCAAGCTTTCGCCGCAGGACTTGAGCGGAGGTACTATTACCGTTTCCAACATAGGCAACATCGGCGGTACATATGTCTCTCCGGTCATCGTGGAGAAGGAAGTGGCGATTCTGGGCGTGGGACGCATGCGAACTGTCCCAGCCTTCGATGATCAGGATAATGTCGTCAAGAAGCAGGTCTGCAACTTCAGCTGGTGCGCCGATCATCGTGTCGTGGACGGCGCAACGATGGCGCGAGCCGCTGAGGTCGTGCGAAAGATCGTAGAGGAACCAGATATTATGGTTCTGCATCTGCGATAGCATAAGCATGGAATTCCTTCTTGATGCCCAAACTCAAGACGGACACCGCGAGGGTGGAATAGACGGGACGCCACCCGCGTATCTATAGGGTGAACCAGTGTTAAGGCGCGGCGGGCTCTAGGATATGATATGATAGTTTTTTATTGTTGTAAGATGATATGTCATATACGATAGCCGGAGATCATAGTCGCAAGGCTAATCACTCCATACATAGCGTATAGCATACATACCTACGTATTCCCCCTAACCATAGATATAGCGTTTTCGGATTCGATCCCTCCTATTTTCGATAGCCTTATTGTTTCCCTCGCCCCCCCTTCCCCCAGTACTGGTTGATGTGCATTCATGCATGCATGGACGTAGTCATCACGCGTAGAGCCACCTACTACAGAACGAGAGTCATCGGATTTTACAACTCTTGGCGCTTAGGTATCGCGTATCACCGTGTAAGGTAGGAAGGAGATTTTATTCATCGCCATCGCCATCGCGTCCCACGCTCTCGCTATCGAGTTTGTCCGCGTGGATCCCTTTCCTTCGTCCGGACTAGAGCCCGTCGAATAGGAGGCCTGCTTTGCTTCTCAAAAGCTATCACGCGAGAGAAACCAGCCACGTACAACAGCCAGCCGTTGGATGCACGGGGCTGGAAGCGGAAAGCGATGATGATGATGATGATGCTGATGCTGATGTCCGGCAAGTGTCAACGTTTAAGCGGTTTTTTTCTTCTTTTTTTTTTCGAATCCCGAATGCTGAACGAAGCTTACAACCGCCCCTACGCATTATCGTAACGGGAACTACTCATTACGCGCGCCTACATTACATACATACATACATAGGTCGAAAGCGGGCGTGGTTAGGGCGGCGCAGGGTTTCCGACGATCCCCATCTTCTCTCCGCCTGTCATGTATGTCTTGTGTGAATTATCCTGCATATATACCTACTAACCTAGCTAACTAGCTAGCTAGCTAGCTACATACGTACATACATGAAGCTAACTAGTTGCCTTGCCTTGCCTTGCCTTGCCATGGCATGGACATTATATGAGGTAGGTTAGGTGGATATGTACCATATATGTATGTATGGTATGTATGTAGACCAGATAGATGCCCGCATGTCCGCCCGCCAGTTTGCATCTCTGGGCGGATCTTGGCTGTGTGTACATACATACATAAGGATCCATGATCCTACTGTCCCACTAGTGGAACCTGTTCCCCGAACGGGTGATTATTCATGGGTCGGGTCACTGGTTGCCCAGAACGGCGATGGCCTTGCCCAAGCAAGACAGCGGTGGCGTAACACCGCGACGCAGCATAGCGCAACGTATATAGGTATATATGTATGTATGTATGTATATATGTATGTATGTATGTATGTAGATGTGCGGGCATCTCTGGGTATAACCCCAGAAGGATGGCAATACGAGATGTGTCGACATAACTACAACCTCAAGGAGGGACTATCCTAGACTTAAAAATCTCATCGAGTCCCGACACCTTCCTCATAAGGTCGATCCCGCTCATCTATATCGGTAGGTAGATCTATTCACCCCAAAAGCACAGTTCAGGCGGGTCCTGCAGCCGCCCCCATATGTGACCCCCATATTACGATGTATGGCATACGTGACATGATGAATGAATATCTCATTGCTCTATAATCAAATTGTGTCATTTGTATGAATATCCCGGGACTCCTATACAACAGCTCACGCTGCTTGCATGATGCAGTTTACTCGAAAGGGGCATCCTCTCAGCCAAATACCTCTAATTGCGCCAAAGTGAAAGCATGAAACCAACTCCTAAACTTGCTTGAATGGATGACGCTAATCTCAACCACTCATCTGTCGTTTGTAATTGCAACCGTTTATTTCATCCCACTTTATATACCATCCATGCCGTATCGTGTTAGCTCGATGCAGTCTCGTCCATTTTCTGGAGCACCTTGTTCAAAGACTCCTCTAGAACAGCCTCCATAGGCCTGCTCACGTCGACGCTGATCACGTCCGTCTCTTCTGCCGTCGGTGGCTCCAGAATAGAGAACTGGCTGTGGACCATGTTTGCCCCCATGTAGTGCCCCTGTCTTAGCCCCACGCGCTCGAGGAGAACAGCTTCTGGCGCATGAAGGTAGATGAAGTGGAGAACGACGTCGTGCGAATAGTAAGGTGCCACCCTAATGACATCTCGATACTTACGCTTGAGAGCCGAGCAGGTAAGCACCACTCCTTCGGCGCCATCTGCTAGTTTATGCAGAGACTCCTCTCGCAAGGCAGTGAGCCAGTCCCATCGATCAGCATCCGTCAATGGTATGCCATTGGCCATTTTCTCAACGTTTGCCTTCGTGTGAAACTTAAGGACCACAACTTAGTCACTTCTAGAACTTGTAGAATTGTTGGAATTAGGTTTAAACTAAACTCACCTCGTCACCTTCGATGTAAGGTAAGTTAAGGGCCGTTGACAAGTGCTTGGCCACAGTGCTTTTTCCGCAACCGGCGGGGCCAGTGACTAACCAGATATGATGATGTCTGGGTCCTGGCTGGCCATTGGTTTTTGCGATAGTGTTATTCGATGTTACTGGTACCATGGTGGCATTGATAGGCTTCGGATTCGGTGCCATAGTATTTATCGAAGCAGCCATGCTAGCCGCAGAGTGATTTCCATTCACTGGGACGGGACTGTCGTAGGATAACATCGTTATATATAACTTGTTTTACTTTTTGCTTTTTGTCTTATGAAGTGGCAATAGTTGATATTGATAGTTTTCAGCGACGGAAAGCCACGATGCGTATTGGGCGTGGCGTAGTCGTAGTCACTTAATGTATGAGTCGAACCAGGGGTATATATATACGTAGGTAAGAACAGCAAACTTCGCGATGTAATTCAGGAGACAAGAAATATCAAGAATCAAGAATCAAAATACAGGAAGTCGGGGGTAATTAAAGCAGCGCAATATATTGTAGAACTAGGGCAGATAGCAGTGGACCCGATGACTGTCGGCGAAGCGTTGGCTTTATAAGTGGGTGTCAACACCTGGTATGTACATACACTCACAACAGACCTTGCTCCTACAACTGTAGAATGACGAAGTAGTGTAGTTACTTTAAAACCTGACTGTTTTGTGCCACATCTGGGCAGTGCCGACGACCGCTAAGAAGGGCAGAAAAATTCAGCGAAAGCCAGGTACCTGAGATCCCCATGACGGGGTCAGGGATCGATTTGGGCTAGACGCTAGAAGAAGCTCGAGAGAACATCAAAGAAGGCAATTCCTCATGATAATGAGCCAATCAGATAAACGGACTTCCGTCTCCTTGGGGCTCCAGACTTACTCGACGTCAGGGAGGGGAGGGGCGCGGGTAAAGGGCCAAGAGGGTACCTAAACGGTGTACTCTATATGTCTCTATATGTTCTAGCATGCCCCAGAAGTACATATTTCTCCATCTTAAAAATAATCAAATACATACACAACTCAAGTGGGGGAACGCATCGTCAACGCGAGAACCGATAAATAGGCCCGAGTTGGATGTCGCGAGTTGAAAACCAGACCCAACAAGCGAACGGCATCCACTAGACCGAGATATTCTGCCCGCCGGCGAGGATCTGCATCGAGTTTGTCTACGGGCATAACTCGCGAGCCTTTGAATGCTTTTTCCCTTTGTCAGGGATTAGAAAAGTGTGTGTTGCGGTTTCAAGGTTACCCAACCCACGGTGTAGGGAAAGACGAAAGCATGGCTTGACCGGAGCCAGCACAGAGGGTGTACATTAGGAGAAGGGGAAGTTAGTAATGAGACATAATGAACAACGAATGGAAATCAATAATTTCGATGTGAGTATTACAGCCGTTGACCAGTTAGGCTGTTTTTGGTACCGTGGTAGTAAAATAGCTGACGAGTTGTATTGCGCTGCGCATTGTTGAGGTGTTCAAGAACAGGCTGAACTTGGAAGGGAGGGCAAGAAAGCGTATGCAAAAGGTACTACGGTACATCTAGAACTTGGGGTCGTTTTTTTTTCTGCTGGGTTTGGGGAAGGAGTTGACGGCACACCGACACCTAGTAAAGAGCCACTACGTTAAGAGCCACTAAGAAATTTCCCCTTTTTTTAATTGTCCTTCCACCTTGTCGGCCTAAGTAATTTATTTTAGGAGATAGTCTTCATACTTTTTTCTTTTTCTTTTTTCCTTTTCCTTTTTTTCTTTTCTTTATCTTTTTTAGTCATGCATTCGCTATTTCTTTTTTTATGATCTGTGCATTTTATTGTTCCTCCTTTAATTTGCTATTGCTCCTCTCGTAATTTATTTTGGAATTCCGCCTTGTGTCCTGAGTCATGAGATTACTGATTCGATGGGTCTCGGTGCAAAAGCGTTCGAGGTGTGCTCCAGCTATCGAGTACGTACCCTATAAATGTAGCGTGGGGGGTAAGATACATATACCCACGTACTTAGACGTATGTACCTAGGTACATACCTGTACTATGTTTTGGTATTCCACTCTTTTACATTAGGCTGATGGAAATTTTATCGAACGAAGCATCGAAGCCTGAACTAACCGAAACCAAGTTCGCCCTAATGTGAGAATGGAAAAGTGTGGAGGAAAACGTGGTGAGGACAGGGAGAAGCAAATCTATGGGTCACGAGCTGATCACTTCCGGGTTCGATTGTACCTGAGTCCCGTTACTTCCTAGAGGTCGGCTACGATGGTACAATAATGGTATTTGATGCGAAACATCAAGCGCTTGAAGCGAATTTGACTATGATAAATGATGACGACATGCTTCATATATCACACGAATGTTACAGGAATGTCACAAGAACGGATATTACCTAGATCGGGTAGGTATTTTATGGAGTGCGATTCTTTCTCTTCGTTAAAATCTGCGACAAATTGGCCACGAAAACTTTCGCCCTATCAGACCCCAGGACGAGGACGACGTACATCTGGCAGGGCTAAAACTGTGCCATCACATTGGACCGGATCTTTAATTCGATGTTAGTGCATATATTTGATTTCTTACAGAAGATAATTTATTATCGGCCCAAGGCAAATCAAGAGCACCGGAGAAGATAAGAGGACGAGATCATAAACAAAACCTTCTCCCTCTCGCAATCTATTACCTCTTGACAAGCATTTCTGTTGAAAAGGTTCCTCTGCCTGTCATCCTACCAACTTGTACGTGATATGGATTTACTCCAAAAAGTGATAGGTTTCTTGGTGTAACAATAGCTGATCATCCACAGACTCGTCATGTTCCTTATTTAGTAAATAAGGGTCAGTCGTCTTCTATTATTATGTACCTACATATGTACCATGTAGCAAGGTAGTATTTTCGTGTCCATATTATACATTTTCTATACCGGCGCTACCTGGAAATTATCAAGCGTTCGTATCGCTACGCGCATGTCAAAATTCAGCTATCCTTCTCCTCTTCTCTTCGGGTGTCAGTTCCGGTAAATCCACTTTTGTGCACCCGCGGGAATTGTTCCAAATCGATTTCTAGTCAGAGACATTTATTGTTACAGCAAGGGAGCCGTCGGTGTTGGTGGGCCCGGGGCAAGACGGGGAGTAACGGCAAGGGCTTGCTCCTCACCGCTCAATGACACTCCTCTCGCCAATCATATAATAGTATTGCGGATGCGATCCAGCGCTTGGGTCGAATACCAAGGTGAAAATACTAGGTAGCGCTAAGGCTAGTTCTGCATGATTCTTCATGGCTTCTGCAACCTGCAAGTGACAGATCAGACCTCACAGGTCATCTCAATTTTCCAGCTTTTTCCCATTTCCACAATATAAGCATTCGTGGATTTCAATACTATGGCTTGTCGTCATCAACTCGTCCTTCCTCCTGACTGCAGTCCCCGCAAAGATACTTGTTGGCTATAACCGGGATAGGCCGAGATGCGAAGGGAGGATGCATGCAACTTCGATAAATCCAACCCTCGAGAAAAGAAATTCGGGCCAGCCGGTAAGTGAGGAAGAGGAGGATGAGGAGGAGGAGGAGGAGGAGGAGGAGGAGGAGGAGTTGCGATACCATAATGGTCTGGAGAATCACCATGCAGGTAAGAGGTCATGAGATACATTTAAACGATGGGGATTCGCACCAGTGCAACAGGATTTGCCTTGCCTGCATATATAGCGGCTGACATTTCTGTGGTCCGGACTAACGCTGTGTTACTATCGTTACTATAGGCAGGCTACATAGGTATTCGTGTCTCAAACGTCGAGACAGAGATGCCATTACATATACGCCTCATACATAGGTAGCTAGACGTGTCCAGTATCACTCGAAAACAAGGCATATACCAGATCAGCCAGTCCTTAACCTTATTCAAACGTGACTCTTTGTATGAGCTATTACGTGGTGCAAATTATCCAGTTGAAAAATTTCTAAAGCATCAAATAATACTAACGCTTCGGATATTCCGGGAGGTAGGTGTCTATAACCCTCACTAGTCGTGATATAAATATTTTGAAAAGTATATCTTTCCGTTTAACGCCTGACTTGAGAGAAACACTTAGCTCGCGGAAAAGCTAGGGATTATACTTGTAATATAAGGGAGTCTAGTTATATAGGGGCCTCCGAGTATTAAATTGCATTGATAGCTTTGCGTACCTAGGTACCTATATAAAGAACTTATCTCGTTAAGCTTTTTTACTTCTTTAAATATTTCAACAAAATGCTCTTCTCGTGGAAGACTTCCTTTTATATACATGTATCGAAGTAGAAATGCTCACTTGAGCTTGTGGCTACATTATGTAGATGTTGAGGGGTAGCAGCCTTATGAGAATTGTGGCGCGGTTTTGAAAGTGCGGGGTACATTGGGAAGTAAGAGATTTGGGGGCCAAGTTAGGTACCTAGTGTGGCGGTGGTGATTACCTCCAAACCCATATAGGAATTAGAAGTGAGAACGTACCTACCTAAACGAAGTCGAACTGTACATCTCCTCACCTTTAAATGACCTTATTCTCCTCCTTGACTCGAAGTACCCCTTCGATACCCCGAACGTCAAGGTTACTGGTCTCCAGATTCTTACCAAGGCCCTTGAATTTATTCGCATCAAAATCACAAATTAACCTCACTAACCATTTTATCGTTCGATCTTTCACTTCAAAGATGGATGCCCAAGAACTCCAACAATACCTTGCTGATGCACCTCCTAGTGTCGTGAGGCTTGAGATAGAAAAACATTTTGATGCTTTAACTGATCGCCAAAAAAGATATGCACATTTCGCTAGCAGGTACTTACTATTCTATAAATTTCTATGAGATATAAAGACTTTGTATATTGACAGCCTCCGTTTGATAGAGCCTCATTTCAAGGTACCAGGGTTGTGGCGAGACAAATCTCACCTGAGTCCGAACCAATAGTAAGCCAGCCAACGCTATAGTCACATTATTATATGCTCACCTATCTAGTACGATTTCATATTAGCCCTTCATAAGAGCAGTGGTGGCGACTGGAAAGCACTACAGACCAAAGCTGGTATAACAGATGGGGACTTAGATCACTTCTTACAATATGCTGCGCAGTTCTTGGGAAACAATGGCAATTACAAGAGTTTCGGTGACGCCAAATTCATCCCGAGATGCTCCGAATCCGTGTTCACTGCACTTGCGGCAACATCCCCTAATGCTCAGAAGTTTTATAATGCCACCTCTGGTGCTGTCTTCTCTGCTGATAAACCTTCCTTGCTACACCTCGGCTACCCCGAAGAAGGGCATTTGACCACTTACTATCCTGGATCGCCTGATATTACCAAAGTCGAAATCGACGCCATCTCAGCGTGGATGGAGAAGAAAGGACTACTCCCAGAGAACACCCGTCTTGTCAAAAATAAAGATGGTTCATTTGATATCCTGATAGCCTCTGCCACTCGCACTGTTCCTAGTGAAGGCGGCGATATTGGAAAGGAGACTACATTCAAAATCGAAGACGGTGCATTGGCCGGAAAGACGGTTAACCTGGTCTATGGCGATTACTCTGAAGAACTGGCCGCTGCCACGGCAAGTGCGAAGGGAGCGGCAGAAAATGCGGATAATGATGTTCAGAAGAAGATGTACAATGCCTATGCAAAGTCCTTCGAGGAGGGATCACTACTCGCCTTCAAGGATAGCCAGAGGTTCTGGATCCGAGACAAGGGCCCGATGGTTGAGTCCAACATCGGTTTTATCGAGACGTACCGTGACCCTGCCGGTATCCGAGCCGAGTGGGAAGGCTTTGCTGCTGTAGTCAACCTAGAACGCACCCGAGCTTTTGGGGCTCTTGTGGAAGCTGCCCCTGCTCTCATTCCAATTTTACCGTGGGATAAGCATTTTGAGAAAGACAATTTTTTGTCTCCGGATTTCACATCACTTGAAGTCTTAACATTTGCTGGTTCGGGAATTCCAATTGGAATCAACATCCCCAACTACGATGATATTAGACAAACTGAAGGCTTCAAGAACGTGTCTCTCGGCAATGTCATGAGCGCGAAGGCACCGAACGAGAAGATTCCGTTCATTGCAGAGAAAGATATTGATATTTTTCAACGCTATCGCGATGGATCCTTCGAGGTCCTAGTCGGTCTCCACGAACTCACAGGGCACGGTTGTGGTAAACTATTACAAGAAACCGCACCGGGAGAATTCAACTTCGATAAAGAAAACCCTCCTATCTCCCCCTTGACTGGCAAGCCTGTCACAACTTGGTACAAACCCGGCCAAACGTGGAGCTCCGTTTTCGGCAGCTTGTCCGGTTCATATGAGGAGTGCCGTGCAGAACTTGTCGCGATGTACCTTGGCTGCGAATTCCCCGTCTTGAAGATCTTCGGATTTGGGGACGGCTCAGTTGACATTAACGGTGAGGCGGGTGATGTGCTTTATGCTTCCTATCTCTCTATGGCCCGAGGCGGTCTCACATCACTTGAAATGTGGGATCCCAAGAGCAAAAAATGGGGACAAGCTCACTCGCAAGCCCGGTTTTCCATTCTCAAGTGCTTCCTGGAGGCCGGTGAAGATTTCTGCAAACTAGAATATAATGGAGATGACCTAACTGGATTGACGATCAACTTAGATCGCTCGAAGATCCTTACGGCAGGCCGCAAAGCGGTCGGCGACTATCTTCAGAAGTTGCACATTTACAAATCCACAGCTGATGTCGAGAATGGAACCAAGTTCTACACCGAGATGACAAATGTCGATCCTAAATTCTGGGGTAAGAAGGTTAGGAACGAAGTTCTGCGCAACAAGCAGCCTCGAAAGGTGTTCGTGCAAGCCAATACCTACCTGGACGAGGCTACGGGTAAAGTTACACTGAAGCACTATGACGCAACCCCTGAGGGAATGATACAGAGCTGGGCGGAACGAAACGTCTAACTTGAGAAGGAGTACGTAACTCGGATAAAGAGCATATTATGAGCATCTAGCATTCTAGGCGGGTAGCATCCGGGATCGCATGAAGAATTCATTTTTACAAAGGGAATAAAAATCATTGCACGAAATTAATAACCCGTGAATATGGATTGCTTTTGGCAAATATTAGTAACATATGTAGCACGTAACTTCGTCCACGCGATTCCAAGTTTTTTTTTTTTAGTTTTTTGCCTTGATAGTCGTTTATTGACTAGAACCTCGATTACAGACGCCAGAATCAATGTGACCGATGCCTCAACGTCCAGATGCAATTGGCAGAGCCAGCCCAGTTCCGCGATCCGCCGTCCGCAAAGTCATGTAAGTTAATTTTCTCTAAAAGCAACATTTCCTCCTAGAAACCCCTGGGCGAGCGCAAGTCTACCACTGCATCTCGTGGGGCTTGTCGCCCTTTCGGAGGCTGAAAGAACTGGCAAGGTAGCTGGCGAGCAGGTCCACCTTCTTGATGTTGGCGATCAGGGCCTTGTCAATGGTCTTCTGGTCCGCTGCTCGGCTGCTGCTAATCTCCTTCTTCTGTAGTGTCGCGTATTAGCATTCTATATCTTTTCTTACCAAGTCTCGTGTAAATGGTTCATACCTGTGGCTTCTCGCCCTGCTTGAAGAAGGCGTCCTCGTTGGCCTTGTCCTTTACCTTGTCCCGGGCGAAGTACTGGGCTTGTGCGACCTCATCGATCTTAGCCTGCTCTAAACCGGCGAGGTCGATCTTGTAGGAGGTGGCGATGACGTATCGCGAGTTGACTCGTCGTAGGGGGACACCGTTGATCTTGAAGGGGCCAGTAACGAGGAGAACGCCCTCCTCGAGGGTCTTCAGGAGAACGACTCGCTTGCCTCGGAAGCGGCCGGCCAGGAGGATGAGCACGGTACCGGGCTGTAGAGACTTTCGCGGTGCCCAGGGGCGGAGGGCCTTGCGGGTCTGTTGACGCGGAATTGTTAGCAAGGTGACCTCGAAATTATTGGTAAGTAATGCAGTAGTTCGCCCAGGAATTTAGTTGTGTCTATATCTCTGCACAATTCCGTAATTGAAATTCAATATAGGATTGTAGCAGTCTTGAGATTTAAGACGAATTCTCCAAGACCACAACAATTTCTTCCACGAATACCAAAATTCACCAGATCGTGTTGCAAATGCCACATATCCATCAAGCTCGGGGGGAGGTTTTTTTTTTGAATTGCTGTTGGTTAACTTACAGTCTTGGGCTTAGAATCATCGTCGGCGGGATACCACTTCTGGGCCTTCTGGGAAGGGTGAGGGACCTCCCGGGTCGACTTCCCGAACGTCTTTTGTGTGCTCGGCTGCGACATCGTGAAGGTTGTCGGGGGAGGGTGTTGTGGTGGGTTGAAGGGAAATTGTCAAGGTTCCTCGTTGTGGTTGATGATGCGAGGTCAGAAATTCCACTTTGCGCAAAAAGATCAATTCAGTTGTGGGCTTAGGCGAAGCCCTGGTGCCACCGTTCGAAATCTAATCTATGCGGCTGAGTGGGGCTAATGTGGCTAGTAATACTGTGGATTTTATAGCTGCCGAGGATTAAGCCACAGAATTGGAGTTCAACTTGGGTCTGTCTTATGTAATCTCAAAATTTATTTAAGAGCCTTAAGAAAGCGCTTCTAGTGGGTCTTACAGTGTATTTACGATATATTTACGGTATATCTGTCGACGTAGCTCTTAGGTAAGCCAAGTCGAAGTGTGAGCTCTTGCATCTGCTTGACGAAGCTCCTGCAGCCTTACAGCCAGCAATCTCAACAAGCGTCACGTAATTCCATTGACGACCATTTCTCCATTTCTTCATTTCTCTATTTTATTTCAACTCAGGCATACAATCATACAACCCTTTCTGGCAGGAAGAATTCGTCCAAAATGTCTATAACGCCTATCATAACGTTCAAGGCCGGCTTTTGCGATGTAGATGTATGTGTACACCTAAGTCTTGAGTTTAGCTTATTGGCCGTCTACATTCAAACAACTAACCGGAATACTAGTCTTCAAGAAGACCCTTCAAAGTCAAACCCTCAGAACAGTCTGGTTATATTTACCTCTATTCCGAAGATGGTATGTATTGCCTAGCATTCCATGCCAAGTATTACTCATAATTACTTACGCTTCTTAGATCTACTTCACTTTTGCTGGCGAGAGCGGAGTGCCCCTATCGACGAACCCGAGCTAGACCTCGTCATGGTGCCTACGGATGGCCATTTCGTACCTTACGATCCGAAAACTCAACCTAGCAGTGCCGTCAAGCCCGACGGCCGCGTCTTCATCCTCAAGTTCCTTTCCTCTTCCCAGCGCTACCTTTTCTACCTACAATCAAAACCCCAAGGTCGGACAGGCAACCCAAACTGGTTCAGCCCTCGCGATCTCAAGATTGGCGAGATCGTCGACAAGCTCCTCCAGGGCGAAGAGGTCGACGTGGCGCGCGAACTAGCCTCGATCAATAACAGTGACAACGACGACCGACGTGGCAACGATAATGACGAGACCATGGAGGACGTCGAAAGTCACGGCGGTGCTAGCGATCCCCAAGGAGGTAGCGGCGGTGCTGGCGCAGGCGCGACTGGCGGCGACATAAGGGATGAGGGCGAGGGTGCGCGAGAAGGCGGTGCCGATGGTGGTAGAGCGTAGGTGACTCCTGATTCTTCGTTTGCGGCGTTTGAAAAAGGATCTTCTGGGGCGAGAACATTGCATGCACCTGACAAAAAGAAAACACTAGCCAATATACCCAGAGGTTTTGGCCTGCTGGGCTTCCATGTAATACTAGAGATAAGCCCACAAATGGGAAATAATATATCTCTTTGTTATTCACTTGCTGCCCATCTTTATGCTAAAGCTCTGCGCTGACGTTTCGTTAGTGCTGCCTCGGGGACCTCGGATGCTGCTATGGCAGTGAGAAACTTCCTAGACTCGTTGAAGGGAGGAAACCAGGGAGGAAACCAAGGAGAAGGGAAACTTTATCCGCTCCTTTCGGATCTTTTAACACCTCCTGTCACCGTTCCTATGGCCCGACAAGCTACGGCAGAGCAAGTGGATAATCTACTTAGCTTCTTACCACCTTCGATCCTAGTCCTATCTCAACAAGCAGACGAGGGAGACACTGCGACAGAACCAACCGCGGCGGCGATACAAGCAGCCAAAGAAGCCATGAGCCTTGGCCAGAAGAAGGCATTACTAGAAAAGGTTCTACGAAGTCCGCAGTTCCATCAAAGTTTAGCTAGTCTGACGATGGCGATCCGAGACGGCGGCTTACCTAGCATCGCCGATGCGCTCTCCGTCCCGGTTGAGAACGGCGGGTATCTCAAAGGAAGCCAGATGCCTTTAGGCGGCGGGGAGGCGGTGGAGGCGTTTGTGGAGGGCGTTAAGAAGAGCGTGCAGAAGAAGTAAATAGACTCACCTGACTGCTGGGGTTTATAAATAATGGTAGGCACTTATACATCACAGGTGTATAGATAATCTATTATTCAACGGTCCTTTGACTTTTTATCTTGTGATTGGATGTAGGAGATAATATTTTTAATTTAGTAGAGATAGGGTCAAGGTAAACCCCTAGTATTCTAATATCCTCACTTATGTAGGTAACTTTGGTATTTTGTTGCTTTATCGACTGGATCTATCATAGAATAGCACGGAATCAGAATGGGGAAGCATATATTTCTGCAAGTGCTCATATTAAATAAGTATTTCAGCTCAGGGAGCGTAAAGAATAGAATCACCTCCCCTATTATGCGTATATCTTTCTCTCTCTTCTCTCTTCCTCCCCTTTTTCCTCCCTCCCTAGAATTGTTCCTAACTAACCGCCCAAGCAGCTAATCAATTATACCAGCCAAACTTCCTCCTCCACGCCTCCTCCTCGCCCGAAAACAACCTAGCCTGCCTGGCCTGATCGAGAATCTCCTCCTCGCTTAAACTCCTGGCCGGGGCCGCCGTGGCTACCGTCGGCGTCTCGCACCCGCGCAGGCCGATGAAGCGGCCGATGCGGCGCCGCTTCTCCTCCAGCGGCATGTCCGGGGCCCAGACGATGGGGCACGGGTAGTGGAAGGTCCACTGGCAGGGCGTCCGCTGGTGGTAGAAGTGTGCTAGCTCCTCGAGCTCCGCGTCCGTCAGCAGCCAGAAGTTGAGCAGTGTCGACGGGAACGACTGGTGGATCTCGCCCGTCGTCAGCTGGACGAGCGGGGCTAGCGGAAGCGCCATCTGCCGCAGTTTTTCTCGGAAGGCGGCGTTTTGGGCGGCGCGGCGGTGCCCGAGGGCGGGGGGAGCCTGGTTTTGTGTCTGGTTCTCCATTGGGGGGGATGTGAGAGGTGAGTGGTTGGCGTTGTAGCTAATAGGGTGGGTGAGAAGACGGCTTGAGGTAATGAAAAGTGGTGGTTCAGGCAGTCTGATGGTGATCTTGTAATTGTAATTGCTTTATAACCTGACGACCTGATTTTCTTCTAGAAGACAAGTTCAAATTCTTGTATATTGTAGTTTTGTAATGACTATGATCTCTGCGATGTCAACGAGATGAGTGAGGTTGTTAAATGAGTGAATAATGCTAACAAGAGCAAAGATAAAAATGATAAATAATAATAATAAATAATAATAAATAAATAATATCAATAAAATGAGAAGGCTCGTATAAGATCTGCTCTTCTTTTGCTTCTTTCTTAATTTTCAGTTATTCTAATCGGCCTTCGACGATTGTGTCTAGCCGCCAGCAGCTATGGGCGAAAGATAAGTTTTTTATATGACGGGACGTTAGGAGAGAAACGAGCACTTGGGAATTTTGGTCAACTACGCAGCTGCTGGGATGAAGACGTAGGAGTCTCCTCATAGGTTCGAGGGCGGCTGTCGTTTCTTCTTGTATGTACGAAGATGGCTACTTGGTTCTTTGTCAAGTGCTCGACGCTTCTGAGTGTCGCACTTCGAACGATTGCTTCTTTGTTTGTTAGTGCCGCCATGTGTCTAAACGGAGCTTTGTCTAACCACGTTCGAAGTCTTTCATACCCGAACAGCATCTAAAAGCATATTAAAGATGTAAATAGTTCCTCTATGGACGGATTTAAAACTAATCTGTTGATTTCTTCTACCTAGAACCGCCATTGTGTCAGCTGACCACCCCTAAGTGTAACCAAAACAAAATCCGCTACTATTTTTTGATTATTCTTAGATGGTCTAATTTTATGTGCCCTTCTTCCCTCTAGAATCCCTTCCAAGCAAGCTTGGCTATGTGATCCGCCTTCTTCCTGCTTTGCTTAACAAGACCCATAGCTTTCATCTCGGCCAACCCGCGATAGAACAAAACAAGTGCAGGCTGCTCATCGAGTCCATCTTCATTTTCTTCACCGACGACTCCGTAATAAGCAGACCAAAGATCGGCGACGTTGACAAGAGAGCCAGTCTCAAGATAGAGTTGATATAATATGGCAGCTGTAGGGAGCGACGGCATAATGCTGTCCCCCTTTGTCTCGCAACAAGAACAATTGAGATAGTCGTGGGGCCGTGACAATGCCCGCTCAACAACCCCTCTTGGTCGCGGGATAAATACATCTCTGTAAGGGGATTTTGAATCAAAGAACCAGAGCTCATTGAACAGCAGATCCTTTGCGCCATCGCTGTTGAGTTTCTCTTTTAGATGCTCAATAAGTCCATCCATAAGACTAGTATAGGCCTTATCTTCGTCTGTGAGAGTTGCTGCATCTTCGCTGAGCTGGACTTTTTGAGCAATAACAGTCGTCCTCAAAACCTTAGTCTGCCCGCTGTATTTACTTCGGAGAACATTCCCTTGTTCTTCGGCATTCGCCTGCAAGTCTTTGACACTGGACAATAAGCTGGTAAAATATGAGACCGACCCCTCAGCTTCGCTAGTCCAAGGATCTAAGCCTAGGTTGATGTCTCCATTTTCAATATCGGATAATATCTGACTTAGAAATGTGATGCTGTCTGCAGGTTGCATCCGCTTTATTGATTCTGAAAACTGGGCGATTTGTTCCGAGTCGATTCCGCGAGCAACTGCATCTAGATAAAGCGTAGTGAAATCATGAGGTAGAACATTACTAGCGGTTAATATCTTTAGTTTGCGTAGAAGATTTAATGACCACTGGTGGAAGTCTCGTAGGGAATCTTTTAGAAGTGCTTGAAGGTGCTGATCGTCATCGAGAAGTAATCTCGCCTGCTTTATTTCACCCTTCTTAATAACTGTCTCTACGTGTCGACGAAATGATGGTAAATATCGCATTGCTTCTATATGTGCATCCTGAAATATATCGGCATCTATGTCATCAGATAAGAAGACTGTCAAAGGATTTGCGTAAAAGTGACACATGTAAACGTACTGAAAGTATTAGTATTCTATACTTCCTTGGCATGTATGCGACTTACTTTCAATGAGTTAGCAAACACCGGAATACTCGACACTTGATCCCGTTGGCGCTCTAGAAGATCGTAGACGAGGGAAGAACCTAATCGTAGTGAAACGTCCGAATGTGCGATAGCAGCTTTGAATATCCTCTCAATAATCGATGTTGATTGCTCGACGTCGAATTGATCCCCGTAGAGACACTGGCAAGTAGACTTTAGGAGCCGTGCTTGGAATAGCTCTACCGAGGTAGCAACTCCGAAGAGTAGAGAGAATGGGATTCGGTCAAGCCATGAGCTGAAAGCTAAGTTAGTCGTTGGGCGTAAAAAATTATAAGTGCACTAACCTGAAGAGTGAGATTAGATCAGACAGTAGACTGCTTTCAAAGGCCTCGCTGTCTTGAAACGCGATGATGATATGGCGACGGGGGTTGGTTTTGAGATGAGCATGGAGAGCCTCGAGATCATAATTTAGATATTTACGTCCCTAGATTGTGAGTTAGAAATGAGATAGATATACTTGGAGTAAATTTGAAAATTCGGCTTACATCTTTACCCGTAGATAATTCTAGGTCGTTTTCATCATCCGTCTCTCTTGCCGTTACATTATGTATAATCTTTTTCAAGGCTGCCTTTAGATTAGACGCATCACCAGATCTTAGCCGCACTACTTTTGCGTCTACTTTGGCCTGTAGAGATTCTGAAAGTTGCTCAAATAGGAGATCCTGAGAAGCTAAATTTGGGCCGGTAATAATGAAGGCAGAAGGGATCTTGCCCGTGGATGCATGGTTAGGAACTGTCTGTAGAAATGAGGTAACTTGATCTAATGTAGATTGGTTGGTCATTCGTAGTATACGCTATGTCAAATTGTGAGTTCTCATTATTTAGTGTCGTATACGATAGATAACTAACTTGTATCCTCTCATCAATTTGAGACCAAGACGTCTCAAATAATTGTTGACGAAGACGAACACAGCGCTCATTCTCAGAGCCACCAAAAAGGGGCTGGAAAGTTAGTGAAGCATCTGGTCCCTGCGCTTCTGCCTTGTTCTGCCGATTTGAGACTTTTCTCCTTTTCGCAGGTCGACTTGCACCATCGGCTCCGTCTAAGGGGTCAAAGACGTAGGCAGCCTAAGTTTTATTAGCGTTAAGTTTGAGTATATTGATATAAGTATTATTACCTGGTGCTGTTTCTCTTCATAGATTTCTCGTAGTGATTCGTCAATGGCCATGGTTAGATATGAATCTTGATTATGAGTCTTGAGGTTCGGTACGCGTCTTGAGATTGTAAGTGGACGTGATCGTGTAGCGCTGATGGACAGGGTCTTATTTTAGCGTTGCCTAATCCCTACCACTCTTAAATCATCCCCTGTACTTCGTACCAGCTGTAACAATTCTAGGCGGGGCTAACGGGACTAGCGATGCACTAGACCGACCGGCAGCGGTGATATCACCTTATCAACCTTAAATTTTTGTAAAAAAAAAGATTCCTATCTTTAGCAGCGTCTTGCCGCTCACTTATATCGTCAAGTACGACATAACATACAACACTATTTCTTTGTCATGCCTCCGAGAACTGCCATCGTCGAAAACTTTATCTGTAGGTCATGCTTGTCGACTTTACGGAAGCGAACGCCCGCGGCGCAATGGACTTTACGGTACTCTTCACAAGCTGCGCAACCCCTCTCCTCGACACCCTCGTCCCGCCTATCACACGAACAAGAACTCGAACGCCAGAAGACCCTAGAAGCTCTAGGTCTTGTAAAAGAAGATAAGAATTCACGAGTGTCTGTCAATTACTTCGAACAAGGGAAGAGTGGAAGTTTGCGCCGTCTACGAGATGAAGACGAATTCGGCCAGTCGCTGATGGACCCAGACGGTCAGACTGAGGACCGCTTAAAAGATTTGGAGCAAGAGCTGGAACAAGCAACCCAATTTACCAAAATAGTCGAGGAAATTTGGGGGAAGCAAGGGGCCGAGAAGTTACGAAAACGAGTTGCGACTCAAGATGACTCTTTACCTAAGCCTTCATTGCTATTGCCTGAGGAGAACTGGCCCACGCCGCAAGACCATACGCATATCGTCCAGCTGAACAATATGATAAAGACTATTGGTAGGAAAGTTCATGGTGGCACTCTTAGTCTTAAGCGAATCAACTCGTTATGGAAGTATTATTCTGCAGCGCGCATCGCTTTATCTAAGAGGTGGGAATTAGTCCACGAGGACATATGGGATCTACTCTGGCAGATTCTTGCTGCAAACCATGCGAATAATCCCAACCGCATGTCACATATCCATGTTCTCGTTAAGGATATGCAGAAGGCTGGTGTGAGCCTGCGTGACGACCAACAACTCCTTGGGATCGAGGCATCTTTTATAAGCGGCTTCAGGGAAGATGCGATCACAGCTCATAAAAAGCTAGTCACTACACTCGGAGCCAATCCAGAGACTTTTGCGGAATTTTGGCAGCTTGGGTTACGAATGTATTGCCTAATGGGCGACGTAGCTCGTGCCGAGCGAGTTGCTACCACGCTACTCGAGTCACCCCACGACAAAGATCCTCGATATCTACTACCATTTATTCGAATGTGTGCTGGAAATCCTGCCATAGTAGAAAAGGGGTTCGAAATATATCAACGACTAAGGTCTACACTAGGTGACTCGATTACCATCGACGACTACGATCAGATAATTTCGTACTTCCTTGCTTCAAACGAAACAGAATTCGCATTTTATATATTTGTCGAAATGATGACTTCTAACACCATCGACCTACGTGGCGTTCACAGAGTGCCTCCTAGTATCGCCAATCCCTTTTTTTACGGCAAATGGCTAAAGCGATTAATAGGGGCAGGCGATCTGCAGGGTGCCTATAATGTTTTACTGCATATGAAGTCTAAGGGTGTCATGCCTCATGCGATTGTAGTGAATGGCCTAATTGGTGCGTGGTTAAGGTCGAGTACCGCTGATAACATTCAAAAAGCCGAGGACGTTGCCTGGGCTATGATTAATACCCGAATGCAGTTTTTAAGCATTAGGAAAGACATGCAAAACCTCGCTACGTATGTCCGGTTGAGACAGTACGGAGAGGGCTGGCCCAGAGCTAACCTGGAAACTTTCTCGCTGCTAGCAGAAAACTACAAAGATCGTGGCCTCCATGCCAAGATGGAAGACCTCTGGGGAGCTTTTAGGAATGCAGAAATTGCACCCGACTCATTCATATTAAACCAGTTACTCTTCTCCTATCTACAAGATGGGCAAGGGAAACATGTCGCGTCCCTCTCTCGCGATTTGACCGAACATTATCAAATTAAGCCGGACTCATGGACTTTTATGGTCCTTTGGCAGGCATTACCGGCCAACCGCCTCGTCCAGTTACCACCAGGACAAATCCCTGAAGAAATATCAAGAACGAGGTCTCTCTTTGCCGAACTGGTTAAGTCAGCCCGCATCTTTGCTACAAGTGGTATCGATGTCAAGTTAGCTAGATACATTCTGCACTCATTTCGTAAACTCGATGACAAGATTGGCCTTCTTCTAGCGTATCGAGCGTTGAGGCAGATATTCAAATTCACGCCCCCGGACATCATAATCCTAGAGCTGCAGGTAGGATCTATGGATATCGAAAGGACCGGAAAGGGCAAAGGTGGCCTCCGATTGATGCATGCCGGGAAACAGGTCGAGACCTATTTGAAACGAAGACATCAGGAGCTCATCGCGTCTGGAGAGCTTCGCGCAGGTATCAACCTACCGGACGATGTGAAAAAAGAAGAATTAGGCAATTTCCTCGATCAATTCCTACAGAACCAAATTGCGGTACTAGAGGATCCGAATACTGAGGAGTACATCACACAGGCAGCCATAGAGATGGGGTTGCAAAACGAGACACCAAGCCCTGAAGCGTTGCCGGATATATGACCCTATGCATCTGATATAACAGATATTCACAAGTTCTGTATATAATACTCAATGATAGTGTACATTAGCTATCCACCCACTACATATTCATGATAAATGTATGGTTACCTAGTAGCATCACTGATATGTATACCCCTATTTACTCTGCTATGTCTTCATATAAGTGTTTTCGTAGACATTCATTGGGAATTCACAATCGAGAACTTGGTATTATATGGCTCAAGCATTTTTTTATTAAGGGATAGCTTCGTATCTTACTCTATTCTCAGAAGTAATTTAATATGTAATATGAGGTATGTATGAGTGAAATAATTCCTCTCGAGATGTTGGGTGAGATACCTACATGTAGGTAGGTATTCTGTATAGTAGACATGTATAGATTAGGTACATCCTATGAGTAGATAAGAGATAAGGTTAGGTGAGTTGAAATGTTAACCCCGAAGCTGTCAGAAAAAGCCCTAGCGAGGGGCATTTTCAGAGTGGGTCCTGCACACATTCGGATGTCGAAAAAAACAATTAGCCGAAATTCCACCCAAGGGTCAACTTACCGTGACTTTTTTCTACTTTTCAGAATACCCTCATCAATCTCTATTAACCAAAAACATCGGCTTTAAAAATCCTAACTTCACAAAAAAGAAGACATGGGAGCCAGCAGACAGAAGAAGGCGGAATACGTACGTCGCAATTATTTGCTTACCTCAATGGTTTAAAAGAAAAGTTATAAGAAGTAATTATTAACAATCGGTTGCGTACAGTTCCCCAAGCTCAAGGGCTTGCTCGAGGAGTACCGCTCTGTTTTCCTCGTCACCGTCGACAATGTCAGCTCGCAGCAGATGCACGAGATCCGACAGTCTCTCCGTGGAGAGGCTGTCGTCCTGATGGGAAAGAACACTATGGTGAGTAGAAAAACTGCAAATCATTCCTATATCTGGCCAACTTTTCGACTAATTGCGATATTCAGGTTCGTCGTGCCCTCAGGACCTTCATCGCCGACACCCCCGAGTACGAGCGTCTCCTTCCCCACGTCAGGGGCAACATCGGTTTTGTCTTCACCAACGGTGACCTCAAGACTATCCGTGACAAGATTTTGTCCAACAAGGTCGCTGCCCCCGCTCGTGCTGGTGCCGTTGCGCCGGCTGACGTCTGGGTCCCCGCTGGCAACACTGGTATGGAACCCGGCAAAACCTCTTTCTTCCAGGCTCTCGGTGTCCCTACCAAGATTGCCCGTGGTACCATCGAAATTACCACCGACTTGAAGCTCGTTGAGTCTGGTAGCAAGGTCGGTCCTTCCGAGGCCACCCTACTCAACATGCTCAACATCTCCCCCTTCACTTATGGTCTGGGCATCTCGCAGGTTTACGACCAGGGCAACACTTTCCCTCCCAGCGTTCTCGACATCAGCGAGGACCAGCTTCTCAAGACTTTCACCAGCGCGATCACTACCATCGCTGCTTTGTCGCTTGCCTTGAACTTCCCTACTCTGCCCTCCATCATCCACTCTCTCGTCAACAGCTACAAGAAGGTCCTCGCCGTCGCCGTCGAGACCGACTACAGCTGGCCCGAGATCGAGCAGCTCAAGGACCGCATCGCCAACCCCGATGCTTACGCCTCCGCCGCCCCGGCTGCTGCTGCCGAGACTTCGGGAACTGCCGCCGCCGCCGAGGAGGAGAAGAAGGACGAGTCCGAGGAGGAATCTGGTGACGAGGGTTTCGGTGGTCTCTTGTACGTCTCTTCTAACTCACAGACTCCTAACTTTACGATCTTGCTAACATATCTTTTCACAGTGACTAAATTTCATGACATGATCGCGGTGTTAACGGATTGGCATCAAACTGGGCTTCGGTTGGGTTTGCAAGATCTAGGCGTGCGAAAATCGACGGTAAATAGGTCTATAACGGTCAATTGAGACACGTTGCAGAAGAGTCAGATGTGTCTGCCTACTTGTGATATGATGGTTGCATTGCCGCGTGTAGAGCTTTGCTTTCTTTTAAATCGTAAGTTTGAATCCTATTTTCAATTCCAATCTTTCTGCTTTTCTATGATTATATAAATGATATCAAGAGCTTTTTAACCCTGAATCTTTCTTGATGACAAATATCAACACCTTATGAGACACTTTCTCCCAAAACCGTTTTATTCGTACATATTGTACAAAGAGTTGAGCGCTAACCCGCTTCCAGAAATGCAGACTACCCTTCCTGAATCGTAAAATTACATGGCCTCCTTGCCGTACTTTGACTACATGTGTAGACCGGCTTCTGTTTCGTATCGTATCGTATGAGGGTATCTTGACCTAGATATCGTAGCTCGTAATGGTCCCGGCCTCTCTCGGTATTCGTTATTAATTAGGTACGCCCGTTCTTTTGCAATATCTCCCTCGCAACGGCAATGGCAGCTTCGGGTAAATTAGCCAAACGCGCTACCTTCAACGCATGGCTTTGCCGGTTAACGCCCTTTCGTAACTTATGCACGTAGATGAACCCCCCGGTACCATCCTCTTCAACATCAGTACAATACGTATCCACAGCGCCTCCCTGCGCTACCATCATCTCCCGCTCAGCAGCCAGATCCGCCAGCCCGTGGAAATGGGTAGCAAACAAGGCTCGGCTCCGATTCACCGTAGCCAGATGATACAGCGCGGCAAACGCTACTGCCGTGCCGTCTTCGGGCGTTGTACCCCGGCCCACCTCGTCCATGATTACTAGGGATCGAGGGGTCGCTAAACGGAGTATGGCGGCCGTTTCGAGCATTTCTACCATAAACGTGCTTTGGTCGGCGGATAAGTCGTCGGCGGACCCGACGCGCGAGAATACGGCGTCGGTGATGCCGAGGCTTGCGTGGACTGCGGGTACGAAACTACCGGCTTGGGCGAGGATAGAGATTAGTGCGTTTTGACGGAGGTAGGTGCTTTTGCCGCCCATGTTGGGGCCGGTTATTAGGAGGAGGCGGCCGTGCTGGTGGGATTGGTTTTGCTCGGGGGGATTATTGGGGGTGTCAGGGGAAGGGGAGGGAGATATGCCGCCGAGACAGCAGTCGTTCTTGGTAAAAGAGCGGCCTTGCTCGCGGAGACCGGCTTCGACGGTGGGATGTCGACCGCCGAGGACGATGTGTTCGTTACCAGGGGAAGTAGCATCGATGTCGTGGAGTACCGGTCGCGTCCAGCCGTGCTCGACGGCTAGACGGGCGAAGGAGGCAGCGACGTCGAGCTCGTCTAGCGCGGAGGCGTTACGTCGTAGTTTAACGAGGTTGGAGACCACAAGGGCGCGTAGTTCGGCTAATAGCCGTTGCTCTTCAGCAGTGACTTCGAAGCGCGTCTGATGGATACGTCGCCCGAGCGTCGTCCACTCCGGCGCGTGGAATGCTCGTGTGCTACGGCTCGAGCTGACAACTACTGCCGCCGTGGCATTGCTACTATCCCCGTTTTCGCTGTCTTTGCTATCGATAATTTTCCGCATGTCCTTGGTACCCTTGACGTGGCACACGTGTCCGAGGGTAGGCGTCCAGCGCAGCGTCAGACTGGCGGCGCCGTAGCGGGTGCGCAGTTCTTCGGCGAGCTCGGATTTCTCGTGTTGCAGGGACGAGAGCCTGGTGTGGAGTTCGCGTAGGCCGGGACTGGCTTCGGGCTTGCAGACGAAGGCTACGCTGTCTTCCGAATAGTGTTCTCTTATCGAGGTGCTTTGCCTTTTCTTTCTCATGGCCATAGCCCCCTTGGGCAGGGAAGAGGCGTCTCCTGTCGTACCCTCGGCAGCGACGACGTCTTCGGCTAGAGTCAGGAGTTGGCTTGCTTCGCTGTCTTCGTCTCGGTGTTGCTGGACTAATCCTTCCTCGTCGATGGATGTCTTGATGCGGTTGGCAAGGTGGGCCGGCTCTTCGAGCTTGATGCGCGAAAGGAGAGGTGTGAAGCAACTAGCTCCTTTACTCTTAGCCCGTGTCTTCTTCGCAGCGGGTGTCTCTTTCGAAGATTCTAGGAGGGAGACGATATCCTGCGTAGCTCGTATAGTATTGCCAAGGGCGATAAGATCGTCCGGATCTCCACGACCGACCGCAAATTTCTGAACCAAACGCTGCGAGTCGTGGCTCCGCCTTAGCAACATGACCATCTCATCGCGTAGATCCGGGTTCTGGATGAAGTGCTCGACGAGGTCTTGACGGGCCTTTATGGTCTCGAGAGACGTTGACGGAGCGCTAAGCCAGGCGTTGAGAAGCCGAGCGCCGCCTTTGGTAACAGTCTTGCGGACGGCGTGTAGCAGGCTTCCGCGAAAGGTGCCATCCCGGATAGTTTGCTTAATCTCGAGAGACCGCATGGTGCTCTTGTCGATGGACATGACGGACATACTGTCATAACGTAACGGCGGCTGCAACTTCATGCTTAGACCTTGCAGACGGTCCCGCACGTACTGTAAGAGTAAGCTCCCAGCGTATACTTCGTCCAGACTGAAGCCCTGCGCTGTTTGGATCGAGATGTTGGATTCTAACATCGGGCCCCATTCCGACAGTGGTAGGAACTCGCTATGCGGCGAGAAGGTGACCAAGTGTTTGTCCTCTGCTAATACGCTGAAGAGCTGGTGGTCTCGTTGCGATTCGAGGACCTGGTCTACGACTACCTCTCTGGGACCAACACGCGAGAGGATAGATGCCAATGAAGTAACTGTCGTGGACTGCGTATAAAACTGGCCCGTAGAGACGTCTATCCAGGCCAATCCTATCGGCGTAGCAGCAGCGCCGACTTGTGGTGGGGTTAAGTGTCCCAGGTCTATGCCCTTGATATTACTATTAGGCTTAGAAATATCGGCCCGTTGCTTCTGATGGTCGACGTGAATCGCCATGACATAATTATTAGCATAGGGGTCGATGAAGTTCTCATCGATAAGCGTGCCGGGTGTAATAACACGCGTGACCCTCCGATCGTGCATCAGCCCATTCGACTTGATCTTGTCACCCGGGTCGTTGGGGAATTCCTCCGCAATGGCGACGTAGCAGTTCAGGTCCTGAACCAGTGTCTTGAGAAACCGGTCCAGTTGGAAGAACGGAAAGCCAGACTAGAAAGTGTCAGAATTATACTCATTGATTAGGCGGTATATAGGTAGGTAAATAGTAATAAACTCATAGAGTAAAGAAAAACAAAAGGACAAGGGGGACAAAAATGGAGGCGTGATACAATATAATATAATAATAATAATAATTACCATCGGTACCGGCCCAGCATTCGTCTTCTTCTGCGCAACCTTCAAATTCAACAACGGCCCATACTCCTCCGCCTGCTCAAAATACAACTCATAAAACCCTCCAACACGCGTAAGTAGCACACACCCATCGAACCGCTGCATATTCCTCCGAGCCTGCAGGACGACAGTCGGATACGCAGGCCCCTCGTCCAGCTCCGGGAGGGGTGCCGGTCGAGCAGCAGCCTTCTTGCCCGGTTTGATAGGGCCTTGCGGGAGGTCCTCCAGTCTCATCGACGATCTAGTTTTCTTGCCTCGAACCTGCTGGAGGCCTATTATCGTTGGGTTTACTATTATACTGCTGCTAGCCCCGTAGGACTTGTGGTTCAGTCGTCTTGATACGCAGAGCGAATGGTGAGTCCGGCGGCCGATCCGGCCTCGGGCGAGCGCCCAAGTCAGCCGCCGGCATGATGGACTATTCATAATTTCATATGGTCAGAGAATATCGACGATAATTAATTCCGACATATAAATCCCTTTACAATAATTTTATCTGCTTTTAGTTTTAAAAAAAAATTTGTAGTTTAATTTCGTCGAATTTTTTATCGTGTGTTCTTTGGTTTATGAGGTTGGAAATTCGGGATGTTGCATTTATGAGATATGATAGATTCCCGCATACTGTGGGCTTTCCGCTGTTTCTAGTTGCATGATACAGTTTCTATGGCCATCTCCTGGAAGACACGCACTGTGTAGCTCGACCACTAAATTAAGAGTCAAAAGACAAGTTCATTATTTCTATCGGAAAACGGCATTCATAGCAGTGAATGCCAAGCAATAGCTTCATTAAAGTTATACCATGATCACTAGGTCACTTTGGAAAATATTGAAGCATCATAAATAGGTCAGTCAATTTGATGAAACTCATATAGGGAACCCACTACTCCTTAACGCTTCGTAAAACTCTTTTCATCATACTTAAAACCCAATAGCTGAATAGACAGATAAGACAAGACTAACATACCCAGCAACAAAATTACAACTGCAGTCTGTACGTCGCAACTTCGAAGGGGTTAACGGTAATCGAGAAGGCACCGTCCTTATTCAACTTAATCTCCTCCCCGTCATCCTCCAAGATATTCGTCTTGAATACCTTTTTGACATCCCAAGTCGTCTTAACCGTCGCTGTGCTACGACCGCCAAGACTGTCGTAGACTCGAATGATAACGCTTTGTCCCTTACGACGTGGAAGCGAAGTATCGTGAGATACGTCTTCGTCATCCTCTCCACGCTTTACGCAGTCCAGGATCAGGGAGTCATCGCCCGTTAGCTTAACGGGGTATTCCGTAAGCGCAGAGATGTCGGACGTCTTAGGTGCCGAGAGGACCTTTATCGGGTGGTTGAAGTTGTATCCGGTGCGGACGGTTGTCGCACCTAATTCACCCTGATGAGGTAAGATGGCCCAGCGGATTGTGTGCTTCCCCATATCTGCGTGCGCATCAGGTGCCTTTGGAGACCGCAAGAGAGATAAGCGCATAAGGCTTCCACAAGTGGCGAAGCCGTATTTGCTATCGTTAAGGATCGAAACACCATAACCATGCTCCGACAAGTCGGCAAACTTGTGACAACACACTTCAAACTTTGCCATATCCCAGGTAGTATTGTAATGAGTGGGTCGCTTAACAATGCCGTACTGAGTCTCGTAAGAGGCTTCGGTATTCCTAATATCCACAGGGAATTCAACCTTTAGGAACTTCATGGTCTCGTGCCAGTCCACGTTAGCAGTGCATTCAACAAACGACTGCTGGCCATCAAGGGCGGCAGACAGGCTTAGGATCGTCTGGATGGAGCTATTTTCACTAATCGTTGCTTCCGTTAAGACGCTGACTCGATGCTCCTTGTCTTCGAATATTCTGGTCTTGCCATAGGGTACTACTTTGCGAGTATCAAGATGGTATACCTCGACGTCCCATGCCTGCCAGTAAAGTGGTTTATCATCGAAGATAACCAGTTGGTTGGCTTTGTCTCCCTTTGAGACGATTTCGCGCTCTGCCTTGCGATCGAAGAGTGAGGTTATTGTACCATCCTCGACTTGTACTGTCAGTTGATCATTCTGCAGGATGAAGACACCATCCCTGACTTCCTTAACGGTAACAGCTTTGGTTTCTCCTGTCTTGAACGGCTTGATGTTGATGAGGTTCTCAGAACCACAAGCGACACCGACTTCAGACTTGGAAATCTCAACGACCTCCTTTCTGTGCCAGGGGAGAGTATTGAGGGCAACAGTTCTACCACCAGACCCAGTGGGCCCTACCTCAGTAACACCGAAGAGTTGGTAGATGTCTTTATATATAGCCTTGCCTAGCTGGAACACTCTAGCATATAACTGGTCTAAGTTAGCATACTGTGTTTCTCCAATGCTTTGAGTAAACCTACCTCATCTGAGTCATCATAGCACATCTCAATGGAACTTCCCGGAAGACAATCATGGAACTGACAAAGGAGAGTTGCTTCCCACATTTCATCGAACTCCGCCTTTGGATATTTGTAAGATTTGAACTTTAGAGATGCGATAGTGGCTAATAATTCAAGTTCTCGTAACATAAACTCTGACTTCCGGTTGTTACGTTTGTTGTTCGCTTGGGTTGTGTATGTACCACGGTGAAGTTCGAAGTAGAGCTCACCGTACCAGGTGACTAAGGTGTCGCCCTTCTCCTCGAGCTTGTCGAAAAAATCATCCACGGAGTTTCCTAAGTGCACTCTAGGCAAACGACCAACCTGGTCGCTGATACCACGGCAACGTCGCAGTTTTTCTATGTGCTGCCAAGTCGGGCCGCCGCCACCATCGCCTTTGCCAAAGACCAATAGCGAAGTGCTATCCTGATCCATTGACTTGTGTTGGGAGACACTGCGCTTAACATCCCCAAATTCAGCTTCCGAGGTGTAGGTTTCTGCTGGCGGCATGTGGCATATTACCTGGCTTCCGTCAAGAGCGACCCAGTTGAAAGTAGTATGGGGGAAGTTGTTGATATTGTTCCAGCTGAGCTTCTGTGTAAGGAAACGGTTCATACCAGCTAGCCGGCATACTTGAGGAAGTTGGCTCGAATACCCGAAGGTGTCTGGAAGCCAGAATGTCTGGCAGCGCTCTCCGAAATTGCTCTCGAAAAACCTCTGACCGTATAAAAATTGACGGACAAGAGACTCGCCGCTAGGCAGGTTGGTGTCGTGCTCAACCCAACTGCCGCCAATTGGATGAAACCGACGTTCCTTAACTTTTTGCTTGACCCGATCAAAAGCATAAGGGTATAAAGATTTCAGCCACTTATACTGTTGTGCTTGGGAACAAGCAAAATTCAGCTCCGGGTATCGATCCATTAGGCCACATTGGTTCGACCAGGACCTCGCTACCTTTCTCTTTGTCTCGGCCCAGGGCCACAACCAACAAGTATCGATATGACAATGGCCAATGCCAAAGACCTGAGGGCTGAGTTCACTGTCATACACCTTAGAGGAGTCGACGTTAGACCCAATGTATTCTTGAGCAATCTTACGGCATTTTTTGATCGACTCCTTATCACCGAGGACGTAGGAATCAATAATGCTTGTGGCGACATTCAAGGCCTTGTGCTGCTCCCATGAATCTTCAGGGAATTCCCTCGCGGCATCGCCAATGATCCAAGTATCGATCCAGAGTTGCCGGGCATCCAGATTGACGGCACAAATATCGGCCTTGACAAGTTGGAAATATTTGTTGGGGTCTGGTGGTTGAATGGTATCACCACCGGTTGGGTTGCCAAACATACTATTGCAGGCCATTTCGATGTAGATGGTGTGTTCTTTGCCATCTCTGAAAGAGTCCGGGAGGATCCACTCGACACGCTCACCCCCACCGGTTAGACCCTGCAACGGCTTCCCATCTTCAGTCCAGACCATGCCTTCGCTGTTGGAGTCCCATTGGAATTCCAAGTGCTCTTTATCCTGGAGCTCGGCGGGAACACGGAGCACAACTTTGAACCAGTGGGTGGACCAAGATGGACCGAAGGCCTGGCCAACGGAGGCGGGTTTGTACTCACCAGCCACGGCCTCCTCGAATGTCGGTCTTGAGAGGTTTGGGGCAGGCCATGTCGAGAGCTGAACATGAGGAGGTCCAGATGCGACACCCTCAAACATCATAGCAAGGAGGTTCCGCTTCTCCCATTGTCCTTTAGAGTAGAACTGTGTGATACGCTCCTTGTAGATGTGGGATATCCGTTTACCGACCGGGGTAGGTGCCCGGACGGGATAATCGGTCGAAACGACCTTCAGATTCGTAGTTTCGCCACCCATGGTAGTTACCGTGACTAACTCTTGGTTTCTTGCTGATATATCCCTGAAACAGCCAGATAAACGTTAGAACGCTATAGAGGATGCAAGCTGTCCTCTAAAAATAAACGAATAGTTATCAAGTAACTTGTGCTTATAGAAGGTTTGGCCACGATGAGACCACTAAATGAAGTATTCGTACGTATAAAAGAAGGGCGGAATGGTAATACGACGAACTTCAGCTCCGCTGGTAATGAAATATGTATGTTAATACAATAGCGTAATTGGATGAGCTAGCTCACCAATGAAATGGAATGTATGAGATTTGTGGCTAACAGCTCTAGAGTAAACAAACTTGATGAATTGGACCTCTTATGAGCTAGCTATATAAGTAGGTAGGTATGTACTATGTAGGGGTAAGCTCATAGGTTATATACTAGTGGTTCCTGAGACGCAGGGGCTTTGGAGGGCCCGCTAAGGAACGGAGGCATAGAGGAGCAGCTGATAATGGGCAGAATGGGCAGCTGCTTGGGAGTCTTTGCGGGGAAACGCCTTGGCATCCCCAAACCGAGTCCTCGAGGACAAATCATCGAACGCACAGACGACCCGCACTTACCCCATTATAATTCACCGCTATCAGCCTTATTACGTAGGTAGCTGATCTAGGTTGGTAAGTCGAGACTAGGTATTGAGTTGAATTCTGTAAGATGGATATGAATTAATATAATTAAGTAGGTCAGGAGAGATGAGATATTACGATAGTGTTGGATTAAGGTTGGTCAATAGGACAGTAATCGAATATTGTAGGATGTGAAAAAAGTAAAAAATGACATGCTCAAAATAAAATGTGAAGGTCGGCTGAGACTATGAGATATTGTAGCATGTAGGACAAATATATTTAGGTGCCTACCTCTCATCATAAAGAGACATTCGGCAGTTACGAAACTAAGGTAAGAACATCTTGAAATTATAAAAAGGGTAAGTACTTATAAGGT